TGTCAACGGTGATGTCCTTTGCCAAGGGTGCAAATGTCCTTTTTTTTTTGCGAAATCGCGTCCCTCTAGCTCTAAATTCACTTTTATATATATATATATATATATATTTTTGGACGTTTGAGGGACTGCTTTTTTTCCCTGGGGAATTGCAAACAAATACCCCTCGGACGAGCGGCATGCGAGGGAGGCCGGGAGAATTTCGAAAAGAGCGTTTAACAATCCCATTACGCGTTCCAGGCCGGGGATCTCTTTTTGCCGAGATTTCGGCACATATCCCGCGGAAAGGCGGGCGAATGGCAGAAAGCGATCGAATTACTCTCTCATTCTGATCCGCAATCGGTCGCTTTGATCCACGCGTCGATAGGATATTTCGGGTTCCAATTAAATCGGGTATCCGAGTTATACGAGAGACCGGGCATGCCTATATCTAATTCTTTTTGCCCCGTGTATGCTACCCGTAATCTCCGGTATGTAATCGGGTATTTGGGTACCCCCGGTACTCGGTTAGAAACAGCATTAATACGATTACGAGGGAGGCTGCCTATGTGCCAGTCTGTGAAAGACGGCACACGCTGTATGAACAACCCCCGGCCACCACCCCCTATCGGTTTGCGTGTATTGCGCGTTTACGCGCACTTACCCCCTACGTGGGCACCACCCCCCGCGGATTCCGCGTCTTACGGTATTGATTTTAGATTTTACTTATGCAATTGGCAACATATTGCGGGGTAATTTTCACCCCCGTCCTGCCCATGGAGAACCACTCGGCCGCGAGAGCTCGGCCGGACGTGAAATTAAAATTTATTTAGGGGATCCCGTGGGAGAGATACCACCCCCTTTGCACGCCTTGGGGTGGATATTTTTCGGACGACGCCCCTTTGATTCTAAATAAATCTCACAGCTGCTGCCCTTTTTGTGCTTCCTCGGGCGAACAAGTGGACACAATGCGTGTCAACCCCTGACGATCGCACCCCATTTCACGTCTTTTCCACCTTTTCCCAAGTTTTTAGGCGAATCTTCTTATGGGACGGTAGCTCGTGTTAACTCGCGTGTCATCAAAGGGACCCTATTTACGATCGCTGATAATCGCACCCCATTTCACGACTTTTCCGATTTTTCCTCATTTTTCAACTGAATTTCTCTACGGCACGATAGGTTCTGTAAACTCGCATATAACGAAAGCTCTTTCGGAGAGTGAAACGTGTTTTTGAATATTTTATGCTTTTTTATATTATTAATTACTGCTTACGATCGCTCATTTTTTAACATTTTCGGCGATGAATAATTAAGAATAATTATTAATCATTCTCATAGCTTAGAAATTTTACTTTCATTGCGGATAGCAGTGTACCGATTTCTTTTTGTCTATTTGCAGAATGTTTTGTGGTTACTTTTGATCGGCTGTGAGATGGCGATTTTAGACATTGATTACCGTCGACAACCCTTGTTCGGGTCGAAGGGTTCGAAGAGTAATTTCGTAATTCTCGGGAAACCAGCCACCTCCTTCCCCACACCAAGAGGCAAATATTTGAACGATGCTTCGGAAAATTGCTTCCTCGGTGTTGTCGGCGGAATCCAGATTCCCTTCATCGGGGAAAGCTCCGTGGGAAATATCCCGCTAATAGTGTCCAAGTTTCGCCGAGAAGGTGGAATCTCGAAGAGGGAAATTTGATATAAAATTCCCAAGACAGGTGTAACTAAAATATAATATATATTTGTATGTTTCGTCTCCATCCAACGATACAGTCGGCTTATATTTAACAAAAGTACCGTCTATTATGTCTAAGATAAGGTATTGCATTCGCGCGGTTCCGCGCACTTGACATACTGATAACATCGAACGTCTCTCGTTACAACGTTTGAGAAGGTAGAGTCTAAAGAAAGAATACAAAAATACAGTCGCGATAGATTTCACCAAAGGAACATTTGAATACTACCGAAGAAATTTTTCCTTGTTTGTTCAAAGAATAATTATTGTCAATCAAATAATCTCAAATAAATTGCCATAATTCCGATGAAATGTTCCATCCAATTCAATCGAGTGCATTTCAGTCAAATAATTATTCCTTGAATTTACGAAATATTTCCTTGGCACTATTCGATGAAATACTTCTCTGGTTAAGAGGAAATACAAAGGGAACGAAAGTGCTTATTATTCAACGTATCGGGACGTGCATAAAAAACTGCAGTCGATAGCGAACCCAGGAGCACCGATAGGTAGCAATTACATGTACATATGTTTCGTCCTTGTACAGGGATTTTAAAATCCTTGTAATATCGACTTAAAAAGGAGAACAGATATATGAGGTAAATTTACGGTATTATTGCACTCGTGGCCTTCGACCGCCTCATTGAACGTCCCTTGACAAAATATGCATAAATCTTCCCGGAATACAATTTCCCTCCTTGGAGTGAATCATGGAGGAACTTTGCGAAGTCTTCCGAGGAGAGTCCGGAGGTACCATCCGAAAATATATCGGCCAGAGTCTCTTGGCAGGGAAATAAATTCCACCAAAGACTTTAAAGGGTCATCTTCAAACCCAAATACAATATCCAAAAGCATTCGTATAAATTAATCCCCTCAAGCCACACCTTCGGCGTACAAACACTTAGCCGAGTTCATTTATCCCTCCTCAATGAATTGCACCAATAGCTCAAATCACTTTTTTTTTTTTTCCCCACGAAAAGCTTCAACCAACCAATTTTTCCCAAATACAGCAAACCATCCATGCCATTGAAATCTCAGCCAAATAATTTCCGCCAAATGTCACAGCACATTTCGCGATAAGTCAAAGAACATTTTGTTTTCAAATACAGATTCTAATTTTTGGTATTTGTTTCGCCGTGGTTCTTAATATTTGTCCTTGGTTGGAGGAAGTGGATAAATCCCCCCGAAGACGCTGAAGAGCCATCCTGAAGACGAAATAAAAAAATGGAAAAGTATTCGTATGAATTAATTCTCTCCTGGGAATTGTGCGATTTCTGGATTCCCGTTTCCGGGGGAGGTCGAGGGATCGATTTTCGAAATTTTCCGCGAATCCCCGAGCAGGCCGACGACCCGAAGAGAGTCGGGAAGAAAAAGAAAGGAGACTTCGGCTAAATCTTTGGACTCCTTTCCCGGCGGCGTTCAGCAAGACGGAAAGAGCCATGTCAAGGGTTTACTTGAAGAGGCGCATTTCAGGCTCTACTTCCCCCCATTCATCGCGATTCTGGAGATAGAGCTCCAAAAGATTTTCCCTACACCGCATCCGAATGGACCCGCTCCGGGGTCACCAACCAGAGCGTTAACCAGCACCCACGATGGCGACTCCCCGAATGGCAATTGTCCGTTTTGTTGAAGTTAACTGGCCCATTAAGTCCACCCACCTACGGACCCATTCACCGCCGACTCCGGAAGATCCTTTACAAAAGACATTCTTGAATTTAACTCGGGCCAATTACGCGATTCATCGCCTTGTCGCCTCGGAGATTCGACGGTACCCCGAGACCGTTCCAAGGAGTCGTCGAAGACCCCCTCCAAAGAAACTTCAATCTGCGAAAGTTCCGAATGGCGTGCCTAAAGGTGCCTAAAAGTACCTAAAACCTGAAACTCCACGATTATTGCTCTGTGACCAAATTACTGGCCCTGACGTCACCTGCCGCGAGATCGGCACCTTGAAGTGCGATTTCCCGTGGATTTCAAAATGGTCCCCAGTTACTCTTCACCTAAATCACGGAATAGACATCTAATTACGATAAGACGCCAGTTGGAAATGTACTCGACAAGTATCTTCAGAGTATATTGGTACTATGGAACCGCCTGATTTTTTTGCGGAATTTCCATCCTCGTAAAATCGTTTTAGAGTAAGTGAAAAGAAATTGCACAGAATGTCCTTGATTAAAAGCACTAGATGAGTGCAGGATAAATCTTTTGAAATCATGCTTTTATCAAATTGCAAGCAAAGGGACTCGTCCGATGACCGGTCGAATTTGTGTCTGTAACTCCTTTCCCTAGATTTAAAAAGAAAGAAAGTACACCCTGTATGTATCGGTACGCGCTTTCGCACGTATTATACTTTGGCTTAAAGAGTAGCGACAGAATTGCGACACATCCGCGCAGGACCTGCGACAGGATTGAACAGAGGAATTCCGGATTGAATTCGTCCTGGAACTTTCCCGAATGGGATGTCTTATTTTTCTTTTCATCTGAAACGCGACGCGAACGAGAGAAAGAGAGAGAGAGAGAGAGAGAGAGAGAAGTCGACGCAAGGCCGGACGAAGGGAAATTAAAGCGTTGCATTTAAATGCATGGAATTCGAAAGACTTTTGCGTGATCGAGGGAAATCGATTCCCTTTCCTCGGATCGCCGAATCGGTTCTTCTTCCCCTGAGATCCTGTCGAAAATCTGCGCCACGTTTCGCACTCACGACACACACGAATTCGCGTCGTCTGTGTGTCGTGCACTCAAGTGTGTATATATCGGACTTAGTTTTTCACGCAGTCGAAACATGATTTTGGCTGAAAAAAAAAATGACTCGATTTGGTGGGCGATCCTGCGCCCACCAAAAATGTCCTTCGAGCCTGGAGAGTCTCCGACGAGGACTACTTTCCATATTAGAGATATTTCAGGACTGCCTAAGATATACTTCCCCAAAATATCGAAATTTCCTTTGGATCTTTTCGATAAAGTCGTCAAAATGATATCACTCTCGTCCTTTATCCTTGGCATGTCAGCGGAATTTTTCTGTATACTCGAAACGAATATTTTCTTTTTTTTTCATTAACAAATAATTCCTGAGCTGCCTAATAGCTAAGATCATTTAAATTAAGGTCAAGTTTTATCCACTCGCTATCAGCCTTCAATTGCGTTCCATTTTTGATTTTGGAAAAGAGCACGAAGTCTACACTTTCGCCGCTTTAAGGTGTCATGAAAGGGTTATTCTGTATACATCAAAACGTTAAAATATTTATAAAACTTGTCTCCAATCTTAATGCATCAAATAATTTGAAACTTCAATACTTGATTACGCATCAGAAAAATTTTATAAATATTTCAACATTTTTACATATGTAGAATGACGTCTTTATAACACCTTAACACGTATGATACTCTAGGAACGTACACGTGAAGAAAAATATTTTGTTACCCATAGTTGACAATATTCCGACCATTTGTTTGAATTACGTATATAACAGTGGCTAAACTATGAAACTTCAACAAACCCGTGAATTTTTGCTAATCTTTGTGTGTAGGTAAATACGTATATGTCATCTCTTCCTACGACTGCGAGTTGAAAATATTCAGCTACATCGAGATAGTCTGTCTAGCTCATCCTACTTCAGAATTTTGATTTTCTCAGTATACGTAGAACTCGTCCCGCGAGTCAGTTATGAGCACCTTTGTCGTGGCAAATAATGTGAACGAGCCTTAAGTTCTTCACAGTAAATAAGTCTTCGTAAAGTTCCACCACGTCCTTCTCACTTATGGAGTCCTGCTCTGCGATCTTCAGGATATGCGGGATGAGAGTCCTAGACCTTTCCGTTCTGCAAAAAAAAAAAAAAGAACGTATTAATACAAAGCGGAATTTTTTTTGTAAACACATCTTTAAATTGTCATTATTATGTACAGTTTAAAAAAAGAATGTAACTAAAATTCCATTACCAAGTACAGGAAAAAATTCAAGAAATTTACCTTTAAACCGCATCGTGTAGATATTAAAAAAATGTACCTTGAAATTGTCATTACCACGTGGGAATTTAAAAACATGTACCTTGAAATTGTCATTACCACGTGGGAATTTAAAAACATGTACCTTTCCCAAAATCCAGCCCTCTTTCATTTAATACCCACGTTGCATCGAGAATATGCAAATACGATAGCACGAACGGTATGAATTTGCATGTTAATATTTGCATATTAGGGAGCGCCAACAAAATCCTTGCTCCGAAAGCCCCTCAAGACCGAGGTGTTGAAATCTCAGAAACATAATCCTCGAAGCTCTCTAAGACACACCTGATGAGACTCAAAAGGACCTACTTGTGATCGAGATTCCACGTGGAAAAGAGGATCAAGTCCTCTCGAGATCTGTAAGGATTGATCCTGTGCCTCTCCCCGTAAGGACACTTCTCTGCATTCCAGACTCCGCTGCACCTAAACTCGCCATTTTTATCACAGAGAGCAATTCGGTTTTTCGGGTCGCTCGACGTCACTCGATAAGGACAAATTAATGGGATCCTTTCCATTTGACTTTTCTCGCGCGAGGACATTTTCCTGGCATCGGTTTCGTCCTGGCCGCAACTCTCGTCCTGGATAAACGTGCCATAGATATGCGCGTCCAGATTCTTCAGCATGCAAGGACAATGGTCGTAGCAATTCCTTTCTTGAAAATCCGTTTCGTCCTTGGAGTTCGATTCCTGCGGCTTCGCGCAACTCCTATCGAAGTAGAAGCCAAAATAGTGGTCCTCTTTCAGCTGCATTTTGAAAAAGGATATCGTGTTCAGAAGGTTCATCCTTGCTTGGCTGTTATTTAAGTACACCTCGGAAGTCCTGATTTGCTCGATCGTTTTATACAAGTATCCTCGTATCCTGTCTTGGCATCTCCTATGCATATAGGCTTCCTAGAATTGGAAAAGAAATTTTATAAATTAGTAATTAATTACATCCTTTTCTTCTCTTTTCTTTATTTGGAGGATTACCTTCGTCATCGCGTTGGTCTCCAAACCCTGGAACCACTCTGGATGATCATTCCTGCTGCTGAATCCAGTTTTCGAATCATTTTTATTCACCGCGCTGTTCAGCACCGCGACCTTGGTTTTCAGATTTTTTGTGAGAAATTTTGATACCGCTTCCCCGGCCATCAGGAAGTCCATGTTGACTCTCTTCAGCGTCTCGTAGAGCAGATCAGCGTCTACGGGATCGTCATAAAATTTGTCCTAATTAAGGTGTCACTCAGGGAGGTCCGCTTTAAATCGCGCAAAGGCTGTGATATTGATTTTAATATCTCCTCGCATGAAAGAAAGTGCCCTCAACTGGGACAGCCTGTATCAGCCTACATTAAACGACCTTGGTGTAGCGTCGATGAAAATTAATTATCCAAGGATCTGAACTTTTACCGAAAATTCACGTAAATCATTGAATTATTATAAAAATGCCCTTTAAATAAAGACACCTTATATCAGCCTACATTAAAACGATCTTGATATGAAGTCGATGGCAATAATTACTCAAAGCTCCGAATGGTCATTAAAAAATCATCTACATTACTTACAGACATTAATAAATTTCAATAAAAAGTAATCAACCGGCGTACCTCATATCAGTAAAAATTAAATCAACCCGGATGTAGACTCGATGCCAGTAATCAGAGAATCCAAATTCTTGCCGATTTATATAAAATACTAATTATGGAAATATTTATCGAAAAATATTGGGCGTACTCTAATTACTAACCCGACATGACCTTCTCTCCTGGCCTGAGGAGGACAAGGGTGGTCTGTGGTTCCAGGGTGCGGAAATATTCCTCGTCCACGAGTGAGCCATCCAGGAGGAAAATTTCGACATTGGTCAGATCATCCGTTGACTGAAAATCCAGAAGTAATCGCATTCGATTATATCGCTGGAGCAAGTCGATAGGGTGCAGGACCGCGGAGGGGGAGGGGTGCACCCGACATTACTCGCGAGTTTGCGGGGGTGCTCTTTTCGATCACCTCCCACGTTCGTCATCTCGTTTTCTCGATAGCTCGAGTTTCCGGGTTTCGGATTAGTCCGCGGATCTCGTGGCTGGCAGTGACCTTGAGACCTTGGGGCGCATCAGGATTCGGCCGGCGACCTTGAAAAATTTCGCGGCCGCGACCTTGGCCCGGCTGGTTCGATACAGCCACCTTCGCCACCTCCACCACCTCCGCTCTGGACCGATAGGATCCCTTTTCAGAAAATCCGTCCGCACTTCCAGAAGGTCACGACTTCAATTTCACCGCGGTAAAATCTGCTCCCCATAGGAAATTCAAATTTTCTCCCGAAAGGATGCCGACTTTCATTTTCATTTTTTTTTTCTTTCCGGGGGATCGGTCAGATTTTCCACGGTTCTGGTAAAGTGGAACTCGAAGGAATCGGGAACCCGATTGGCTTCACGGCGTTGGCTACGTGGACGGATGGGCGAATTTAAGAAGTTGAAATGAACGGAAATTATATTTATTAATCCAACTCACCAGGCTAAATTTGACGCAAGCCTTGCGTTTCAATTCCTGAAGACCCCGACAGGCGATTCCGAACTTCCGAGTGCGGTTAACGTCGGTGACCTTGAACCCCTTCGGCTGCAAGGAAGAATAAACTGCAGCAATTGCACCGGAAATCATTCGAATAATCGCGCCTTGAACTTCCTAGAAGCCATTTTCTCGCGCGAGAAAATTTCGAAAAATCGGATTCTCCATCCCGCACTCACCTGGTCGGTTTTACTCTCTTCGGGGTCTTTCCGCGAGCCCCGAAAAATGAACATGACACTTCGGGGAGGAAAAGCCACGGAAGAAACGATACGTCGAACCCGGCACTTGTTCGGACTCGCGAGCGACCGGTGTCGTCGCTACGGGAATTCCCTCGCCTGGAATCCAGACAGATGACAAGTCTCTCTAGACCACCGAGGAGAAGGAACGGAGGCTGCACTTTTTGGAATGAATTTTTTTCCTGTTTTTTATTTTTTTTTTTCTTCCGCGGAAGGGGATTTATCGGATGACCGAGGCTCGCTAAAACGAGACCGGGTGCTCGTCGGGGAAAATGAAAATTCACACTACTGACAAACTCACTGGGAGTGGGTTGTGGTGTTGGACGACTCCCGATTGGCTCCGAAGGAAAGAACCTGCGCCTGCGAATGCTCGCCATTGCTCTTCGTGATTCTCCCGCTCGCCCTGAAGATGGCGATTCTTCCCGGGCCTTCCCAAGCCCGCAGAAATCTGCCTTACCGACGGGTCGCTCGATAATTCTTTCACGGAAATGACGATAAGACGTTTCGTATCTGCGTGAACTTAACTTAGGCTACCGTACTAAACTATCGAAAAGAGTATATTTAATTTTCATCCAGTGGAATGGTTCGACATTTATTTCAAGAAAGGTGTCAAAATATTACGACGTTCCATATATAAAATCCTAATCTACTTTGGAACATTCAACTATTTAAAATTATATTTATTTCTATATGTTTGCCATTGAACGGAAGTTGGGTCATTTTGACACAGTGATTATGTTAAAATGTGTATGTCGTAACCGGATAGTAAAATACAGAATTTTGTAACATGAAGTATCGTGCTTATCATTCCTCTGTCCGGAAATTATTAATCGCAAGTAATTGTGAGAATATGGTAAATTGTCAGATTGCATATACTCACAAAGGGCAGATGTGGATTAACATATTTTTTCATTAAGAAGGAACTTAACAATTCTCTGCGAGTTCCATTGATTTCAAAATCTTCAGGTTCTGTATTAGGGTATCATTATAAGTTGGGAATTATTTCCTGCTACTAGTTCTCATGATAATTTGTGCGTCATTGAATACGTCAGCTATTTCTAAACGACAAAAGTGGGTCATTGATTATTTAAATTTTCGTCGGACAAAATATCGACAAAATGTATGTGAGAAGCAATTAGTAGTCTGGCATAGTCTAGTCGCTTCCTTAATGAAGAAATTGCACGACGAACGACAAATGAAAAATTGATTCCTCCTTCAGTGCACCTATACATGAGTCCTCCATAAATGTACAATGCAATTGCGAGGTTTAACGACGTTAATCGCGATACTTCAACGAGTGCTTTAATTTACCAAATCTCGAAACCTCAGAACCCTTCGCGGCCTAAGTTAAAATATTATTTGCAAGCTCGACTGACCTAAATAAATTGCAGGTGGAATTTTTCATTTACGTAAGGGAAACCAAGTCAAATCGTATGGAAATCTATGAAGACCCGTGGTTCGATTTTAATTCATTCACGAATTCCGCACTTGATTTCGCCAATCTGACCTCGAACCTCCACTGACCTTGCCCACTCCGTCATATTTCTTCGGTCTGTCTCTTTCGGTGTAAGTAAAAAAGAAAAAGGCCAAATAATTTTTTTACGCAAAAATTCCCGCAAAGGAAATAATGCAAACATTTGATCAGGGAATGTCTTATTAAAATTCCCGTTTGATTTCTTTTCTTTTTAATTATAACCATATTTTACATTTCCTCCGGCCCACGAGAGCGACCTTTGTTACCGATACGATTGCTGCGCCGTTTCGGAAAGGTGCGCAAAAATATGTGCAAAAATATTGGAAATTTCTCGAACTCGGTGCATAATTACTGTGACGTGGCATGTATTAATGTACAGTTGAAGGAAAAAATTTAAGCCCGGGAAGGTTCAGTAATAATGGCTCGCAATCAGGGAGACGACGGATCAAATTTTTTTTTTCGTCGGACAAATCCGTTATAAACAATTTTTTGACATCAAGTACAATGGGTCCTCGGCAAAACGATTTGAATAATTAGCATTTTTGTAGAATGTTTTTATCACTTCCTCCCAGGAGTCACTGCAAACATTTTTATTATTTAGACACATCTTTTTGTTATTTCAAAATTGAGGGGCCTGGATTTATTGTTGCATATTCACATTGTTGTGAATCCCATACCGAAGAATTTCCATTGCACAAGACGAACTGGTTGACCAAGTGAGAGGTAGATTCTAATCATCATCAAATGACTGGATACGTAATCATGACTCGCGGCAGTTACTTTTTTTTTATAAGTTAAGTTATTTTCCCCATATTGATCCGTAAGTGCATGTCGGTTTAACACGAAATGGCGAGATGCTTCATCACTTTCATACCACACTCTATTTTTACACCGACGGGGTCATGAAGTAATGACATTAACTCCCATTCACCCCATCCAATCATTACATGAAAGAAATAATCACGAACACCTATCTCTTTATTGCCGACATGATTTTTATTAAATGACTTTCTCATTAAATACCCCATTATACTACATTTGTAAATATTTTTCCAGCTGCCTAATTTTCTCAAAGCTAACTACCGTATAAGATATAAAAAGTTAATAAATGATCGTTAATAAATTGGGCGGAAGCGTTAGGTTAACCATTACATAAGTCAATTAACGTCCGCGATGACGTTCCTGATAATGCACACATGCACTTCCGCGGCTTATTAAATTAGCAAGTTTATTATTTTTTTATGCACAATTTATGACGAGCAGTAGATGGGAATTTTTGTTTAGACACAAGGTATGATCTGCGTAGACTTGTGGCATTTCTTACTTGACAATTGCACCTGACATAATTGCGCGTAACAACGGTATGGAAGTTGACAATCGACCAATGAGGTGGCTCGTTCTTTCCAGGTTGATAAAAGTGGAGCATAGTTCTGCCTTTGGATATAAATCGAGAGACAAGATAGATTTTCGATTGCCTTACAAGACAACTTTTTGCCGATTTGTATTAAATGACCCCTGAAATAATTGCCACTTCCGGGACCAGCTGCATTGCAATGTCAATATTAACGACGCCCTAAACGAATGGAAGAAATTTAATGAGAATGACTGGGCCTCGTTGAAAATGCTCTGTAACGAGAGTGACTTGAAGACAAGAATCTACTTTCATATCCGACACTCCTGACCGGGTTATAAATTGTTCAACTATTTTTTACAAAATATTTGGAGTCATCATTGAAACGTACGTCAATAAATTGTTCTACATTTCTTTGGAAAAATCCACCTCTGGGGGGGGGGAAGAAATATGTTAAAAATTGTTCATTTAACCGCGGAGCATTTTGTGCAATGGGGTAAAAATTTATTATTGTTACAGGCAAATTGGCTTCATCGAAAAAGCTGTTTGAACTGCAAATCCACGCTTCGGCGTTAATGCAGTCGCTGGGCGGTCATGGAAAATGCACAGCTGGGTCATCAAAATTGCACGGTCGATCACTGCCATGATTATGAAAAGCCATTATTTATTCATCCGATTTGCAACTCGCAGATTTTCTACGACAGTCCCGCGGCTCCGAGTGGCCGAGCCTCAATAACGCGAGGGCCGATTAATTCGGCATATTAATTAGCGATTCGACCGGGATCATGCTGAATCATGAAAAATCGACGTCGACTCGCGGTTCGTCAGCGAATTTTCCCGTCGACGAGCTTAATTCAATCCGCGATCGGATAAATGATCGAGCTTAATGTTGCGTTAGAGTAATGCCGTGCAAATTCTGTCGCGCCTCATAAAAATAACCACAATGACCGGAGTTATTAGTTAATTATTCATATCGTTAATCACGCTTAGCCGGTAACTAAAATAGCTGGAATCGCGACCCTATACATCGTATGGGAAAGTATTAACATTACCAGCTCCTCTTTATGGCGACTTTCTCGATGCAATTGCACTCGCATGCCACTTTATGTGTTTCGGTACTTTGATGTTTCCTTGAGACCAAGGACATTGGATTGCAAATTAACCGGCCGTTAAAGTAAATCAAATGATTAATGCAATGACTGTCCGTTAACTGCACCTGCGATGCGAGCTACACTTGATACGGCGACATTGCCGTTAATTAAAAAAGAAAGACACGAAGTAAGAGTATGAAACTCCAAGTTGAAAAGTAAACGCAATTTTTTCCCCGGGTTACGCAGTCGTGAGAAAAACTGACCTTTGCGGGTAATGTTACAAAAATTCAGGAAATATGCATAGGCAATTTATTTCTCTCCGTTTTTGGTATTCCTGTTTTTTAACCGCGAATGACAAACAGGTGCATTTGGAATTTCAAACGAAGGAAATTAGCGTCAGGGTGAGAGGGTTTATCGTAAACCGTGAATGAACTTGATATTGATATTCATTAGGTACCTCGTCTGGGTGTCATTGATGTAATGACAAGGTATTTAAGCTTGAACCCCGCCTTAGGTAAATTTACTTGTGACAACACTTGGCAGTCAATATTATCCTCGACATGTCGCAAGTGCCGCGAGCCGCGTCGGGTTTTTCGCTGTTTTTCTACCCATTTGTCAACGTTAGGAAACTGACATTAACCTACTTGAAAAACGACCGATCGAATTTCAATGCTCGATAAAGCGAGACTTCTGTTTCGGAAAGGACCAGTTCTTCAGCCTTGGGGAAATTGTCTGACACCGCGGAAGAAATTTCCTTGAACCAAAGGAATATTTAGTAAATTCGAAGAATAATTATTTCACTCGAATAAACTGGAATAAATCAAACGCTACAATTCTTCGGAATAATGACAATTTATTTCAGTTCATTTCAGTCAAATAAATATTTTTCGAATTAAGAAAATATTTCTTTGGCTCGGTGAATTTTTTTTTTCTCTTTATTTTTTCAATGTACTTTAAACCAATTATGAGGACATTCGGCGGGTGAGAATTTCGGGGAAAATCCCGAAATCTGGGGAAAGACGCGGAGGTCGATGTCACGAGGAAAAAATTCCCGGGAAATTACGTTATCCTCAGTCGGCGCGTATCGCGCGTTGCATAAATTAAAGTCCCGATAAAGCACGTGGGAGCGCCGATTTTTGCCAACTTTTTTTCTCTACCCTAACGTTGATACATTTTGCATTCGTTGGGGCTTCGATCGCTAGAAAATTTCAGCCGCCCGGAGGACACGCCGTGACGCAATTCAATTTCCGGCCAGGCACTGTTCGTTGTCACGAGTGAAATGCAAAATGCATATGCCATATTTACATAGGGTTGCGCAATGATTAATGCCGTGTTACTTAAGCAAAGGATGGCTCGCTTCTTCGAAAAATCCGGGATTTCACCGAAGCCTTCCCCTCGTCGACTCTCCACACACCAGTAAAATCGGAAATGCATATAATAATTTTTAATTAATGATTAAACCGAGACTGCCACTAGTCGTGCGTTTGTTCCTTCAATTTTCGACTGCATATTTCGGCAGGCGTTTTGCAACGGCTTGTCGCTGCAAAAATTCCAGGTAAAGAGGGTTCTGGTACATTGTATCATCCCGGTCTAATTACGAGGCTCATCTCGACAATCGCTGGAGGTCATCAACTCGATAACCCGACTCCGTGCTAATTTCTTCTCCAGAAGAAATGACGGTTTTCTCCCGCCTCTATTCTGATGCTGCAAATCTCCCTTCATTTCAGGGGATCACCAAGATGACATTCTACAGGGTCTATTAAAAATCCCCGTGACAAGTCTCGACAATCTTCCAAATAGCGACCCCTCAGATATCCAAGCGAAAAACTGTGAAATCCAGAGGCACATTGTGAATAATTCACAATTTTTCCCCCATTTATTTTTTTTTTCTCTTTTTTTTTTTACGTCGAAGTTGGATGCGCTCCGGATATCAGCGCGGTGGGAATTATTTAAATTAATTACAGAATCTCGTCCACCAGGCGTTTCGAAATAGAGTCACGTAAAAAATGATTATCGCGCAGACTCCGCAAAAGGCAGGCTGCTTTTGTCACAATCTTTTCACTCGAATGGCATTTTTGCCTCGGGATCGCATTACATTGCACGTCTCCGAACGATTAAATTGTTTAACATTGTCTCATTCGCGATGGCCAATGCGGACGTTATCACTGCCAAGTTTTCTGACTCGTGTCCTCGGAATAAATGCAATCGACGGCAGCATCTCGCAGGATTATATTAAATTCAATATTCCGAGAAATTTGTGCATAAAAGGGAGATCGTTGGCAAGGGAAACCGCGCATGGAGAGCGAATCGTAATTGGAGACTATTTCAATCAACAGAGAATTTTTACGAAAACTCCCGAGGGCGGTAATTTGCCGAATTTATGAAACTTTTGGTGGGCGTAGTTTAGAAATGGATTTTAAAATTTCACTGGGAAATGTAGGTGGCTTTAGAAACCGCTGCCAGCGCTTTCGCTTCCACGTTGCCCTGAAAGACGGCATTTCGAGCACTTTTGAGCATACTGACGTCCACTTTCCAACTCCGTCCGTACTTGTAAGAATTCCGTGTCGTAAATGCACTCATACGTACGATTAACAATTTTTACAAAGAACATAAGGGCACCTGAAATTCAATTTCCAAATTATTCGTCTATAATTCGTCAAATTGCTTAAACCTCGGGTGTGTCCACCTGAAATTCAACTTTCAAATTGTTGGCAATAATTTGTCACATTTCTTAAATTTCGGGTATCCACATTTAATGAAATACTTTGAAGTCCCCCTGGAAAATAAGGGGCGCCTCTAAAAACCGTCGCCAGCGCTTTCGTTTCCACGTTTCCCTGAAAGGCGGCATTTTGAGCACTTTTGAGCATAATGACGTCCACTTTCCAACTCCGTCCGCGCTTGTCGTAAGAATTTCATGTAAATGCACTCATACGTACGATTAACAATTTTTACAAAATCTGTAAGGGCACCCATGGACACTTGAAATTCAACTTCCAAATTGTTGCCAATAATTTGTCGTATTTCTTAAATTTCGGGTGTCCACATTTAATGAAATACTTTGAAGTTCCCCTGGAAAATAAGGGGCGCCTCTAAAAACCGTCGCCAGCGCTTTCGTTTCCACGTTTCCCTGAAAGACGACATTTTGAGCACTTTTCCACTTTTCGGGGGTAAAAGGCCACGCGCGTGCCGAATTTCTGGCCAGCATTCAGACCGAGGTGACACTCGAGAAAGACCCACGTCTGCGAAGTCCAACCGAGAAGAGCTTCCCGAGGAAAAGCTCGGGGAAACTAGACGACCCTGGAAAAGTTCCGGCAGCTGGAAGGAAACATTATTGGTCGCGAAATCGCGCACCAAAGGTACCGCCGGCCCGATAACGCGATCACGCGATATCCGAACTCGAGTTTTCTCAGGCGTGACGTGCCAACATTGGCCAAACTTTCAGAAAACTTCCCACCAGGTTGGTCCTCGTAGATTGCCACGAAAGGACGTGCTCGACTCGCGATACATCGATGTGATAGCGCCGAAGACGCGTCGTGATAACGCCTCGGGTAGGCGTGCAATTTTTCTAAATAAGAGATTGGAATTATCACTCAAAATCATGTCTGCTGATATTGAAGCAGAACCGATAATCATATTTGCAGGGAATCGTTTATAAACAAATTCCAACGAATTTAAATGTTCGCGCGCGTAAAGAAACGCAGGTAATTAATTTGAAGCGCCTCAAGTCTCGCGCCAAGATCACGCTACTAGAATTTAGGGGATTCACTATAATCAATTAAACGCACGAAGGGGCGTATTAAAAAATATCCCGTAATTTATTCTAAGCGCACTTTTTACGGAATTTAGAAGTAAAGTCTATATTGGCGCAAAGGTTATGTCACATTGACGGGCGTTTCGTAAGGCAGGACCCCCGGGGGATTAATTTCGCGGACACTTTTCAATCGGATTATGCGAGGTGAACCTTCAAGTGTATTAAGAAGTAATTAAGGATCTTACTCAACGTAGTACACGAGCGGTTCGTTTCAAGCGCGCGGATTCTCGGTACTCGTCGAGCGAGTTCCCTCTCGGTACGGAGAGTAAAATCTTGAAAAAAAGAAAAAAAAAGAAAGGATTACTCCATTGGTAACGCATTTCGTAGACATGCCGCAGGATTTCCGGGCAGTCTGCGCGTTCGCATTCTTCCGTGGAAAATACGCATTTTTCCATGGAAAATACGGAAGAAGAAAAAAAAGAAGCTGCCCTCGTGCCAGCTTTGTTATTTCCCTCGGTCGGCGCTAAAGGTATGACTTTCCCATGGATTATACGTGGTCCACGTCCGAATGGGTCGCCCAGCGCGGTATGTCGGAAAAATGAAAATTCTCGAGCAGAGCTTGAAACTCGCCCGATCCGCGAGTTTCCGGTTTAAAGGGCTCCTTTATTTCGCTCGGCCAACCGGAAGTTAACCGGGCCAACTTTTCCGAGAGACCCTGGGGACGTCGCACGCAAAGAACCCGCCACTCGTGCTTGTCGCAACGATACTCGGGTGCCTTGAAAATAGAAATTAAACAACGCAGGTACTCTGGGAAAATAAATCGCCACGAGTTGCCGATGTACCTTGGAAAACTTATAGGATAAAGCATCTTTCATACGCGTACTAAAATGAGACGATTTACCTATTTCGGAAGAAAATGACAGGATCTGTAAGCTTTTCCTGTATTTCTTGGCGGTTGGTTTTCCGAGGTGACAGAAGAGAGGATGTCAAATGCTGTTTTGCTGGAAAGCACATTGAGTACTCTTCCTTTTCGATATACCACTTCAGAATGGATGCTCCATCAGACAAGTCTGTATTCCTGGAAAAATGAGATACCTCTTCGGGAAGTAATCCCACAGTTCCCTGGTATCGATTCCCTCCCTCGGGAAAGCGGGAAAGCGAGAACGTCTGGGAGTCGGGATCCCCGAAGTGGTTTCCCTTTCTGCAAATCGAGTTCGAAATAAAAATGAACCCGCAGAATTTTTTATTGCTAATTCTAGGGGTTCAAGAAAACCTACGTAAACCTTTGATTTCTCTGTTCCAATTTTTCTCCTTACTCCGACTGTTCCGTTTGAATTTCTCTTGTTAACCCCATAATTACAAAGCGTCACTATAGTTGCTCCCTTCCTTCCTATGTATTCGAAGCGATAAATAAATATCGTATTCATATAAAATATTAGCAGCCAAGCTATCCGTACAGGTGGTACATCTCCACGTCCAACTCCGTCGTAGTTAAAGGGTTAAATCTCGTCGAACCAAGTACAAAACGAAACGTCGTTTTATTATAAAGCGTCACTATAGTTGCTCCCTTCCTTCCTATGTATTCAAAGCGACAAATAAATATCGTATTCATAAAAAATATTACCAGCCAAGCTATCCGTACAGGTGGTACATCTCCACGTCCAACTCCGTCGTAGTTAAAGGGTTAAATCTCGTCGAACCAAGTACAAAACGAAACGTCGTTTTATTATAAAGCGTCACTATAGTTGCTCCCTTCCTTCCTATGTATCCGAAGCGACAAATAAATATCGTATTCATATAAAATATTATCAGCCAAGCTAACCGTACAGGTGGTACATCTCCACGTCCAACTCCGTCGTAGTTAAAGGGTTAATCAAAGTAGAGGCCGCGATTCCCCAGAGTCAGTGTCCCAGCTACGAGGTTTCCTCACCACCTGCGATACCAGAGGGTGTAGACCTTGCCGATGCCTCGATGGAGCCATTTCGAGCCCACCTCGAGGACTCTGCACTGGTGCTCCGGCTAGTGAGTTCGGAGTAGGGATGCAGAACTGTGGGAATCGGTGGCATCGCGCCTCGGCGGCGAAACGTTAAAACGCCGCGGCTGGAAAAGCTTCGGTTGATACGACGCTCCTTGAAAAACGGAGCTTGCCGAGGCTCGTCTTGGTGGTTCATCCGGAGACGGAGGAAAAGATCCGCGGACCTTCCTCGAGTCGAGAAGTGCCCCAGACCGCAGCCTCGATTCCTTTGTCAGTGGTCCTCCGACCAGGGCGTCAGTCGGATCGGACCCGACAGGGTCAGCATTTCGACCGAACCAGTCCAGAACCGTCTGGCACGTCAACCGAAGACCACCAAACAACATTTGATACCAACCAACACCATTCGCCTTCTGATCGGGTACCAGAGGGACCAACGCCTCTTCATCCCCGTCATCGAACGCTCGACTACAGAGGACCCTGAAGAGTGCCTCGAACCTGAATTAAATCGAATCTCTTCGGTGCTTTCTGATTCAGGAGGTCAGTATGGAGCTGGAGACTGATGTTGCAAAAATTAAAAAAAATATATAAGTGTGATCTGTTAAGGATGATTGGGGTCTATGATAAGATTCACGGAGTGGTGGTACCTTTTATCGTGTTAGAGTTTCGTGACGATGAGTGGATGGTCTTCGTGGTCTTGCGGGGGTGGGCTTGAAGACTCATCTTGGAACTGGGCTTGTTGACAATGGTGATTGACTCAAGATTGGCACAATTTCTTGTACCAGATTTCTTTTGGGTACCTGTAGCTCGTTTGCATCGCCGTCCTTGTTATCGAATTAATCATGGGAATCTCGTCTTTCGTTTCTGCAGTCGAAGGGGACGTCGGAAATTGATTTCGTCGAAACGTGCTTTTCCCTCCTGGCAAACAATTTGTTATTGCAATCCTCTTGGAAGTCTCGATACCTCGAGAAGTGGGATTTATTTATTCGTCACGTGGTGATTAAGTCGGCCTCTGGGAACGTACGTTACCAGAATGATATTCCCCGAGTGACGCAGCTGAGATCCGGTACTTCCTGTATGGGATGAAATATTATCGCATAATATTATCTAGATAGCCCAAGATGGCGTATCAACGAATTTCTCATTAAGCCCTCGTTTCCATTTTACATTCTATTTCAAGGAGAAAATTAATTAACCTCCACGAATCTCCGACAACTCCAGGGGTGGAATTTTCCTTTTCAACGATCGAATTCATTGGGTAGGTGTTGGACTCGAGTAAGCCACGGAATCGAAGGTATCTTTCTCGACAAATGATTCAGCACCCGTCGAAGCAGGGAACGGTGAATAACGTTGATGGAACTTGCTTCGCAGTGGCCATTAAATTTGCCGGACTGCGAGTCGAGCTTGAGTAGGTCGTCTTAATGCTCAAGAATCGAGCCTTTCGAGGCATGAAATATCCGGGAATTTCGAAAATCTCATCCTCTTGCGGACGTTGCGGCAATTTCCACGGGAATTAAAGGCGTCCTTCGATCGGAGATTCCCTCCGATCCCTATTAAAAATTCCACCCGATGATTTTCTTGAAAGCCATCCATCAGTTTCTTCGTCCGAAAGTGCCGTATACGTTTCTTCCTCCGCGCTCGAAAACTCCGCCTAAGGAGGAGCGAAAAATATCAATTAAATTTTTCGGTTACTCCTCCAGGATTGCTTAATGCGCCGTAACCGGCTATTTCGCGACTTTTGTTTACTACATGTCGTAAAAAAATATTATCCGGTAATCATACGCTCCACGAGGTTGACGAAACTCCTCTTTTCGGCAGGTCGGCGCGAAACCGCGTCGAAAGTGTTCCAGAATCGAAAAGAGGTCTGGCCTTCGTGAGTGGTCCTTAATTGGACTTGTCTTGTCTTTGTTCTTGCCGATCTCGACTTTGGATTCGGACTTACAGTCTCTAATCCAAATTCGAGCTGCCATTCGCTTGACTCTTGACTTAAAAGTCCCTCGCAAAATAAACTCGATTTGCATAGCGACAGGTTCCTCTTGGAGGCATTTGTTACGTCTCGTGTACGGTATGCAAATTCAAGGCAGGACATTACAACACTTGGGACATTCTTCTGCCGGTTATTCCATAAAGTATAGATTTATCGCGGCCATCTCGCAGGGAAATTACGCTCGCATGTAAATTTCCGTTCGACCACATACGAGGAAACACGTGGAGGAAGTCGCAAAATGAGTCGCACTTAACAAAAATTTTAATTTTTTTTTATTTCCTCATCGGCACGTGTGTCCGTTCGAACTTTTAGATCTCTTTGTCGCTGGAACTGGAAATCATCAAACTGACCATAAAAGTTCTATGGCATCGAGTGATAAAGGAGTCACTACACTCACGTGCGTCATTCGTGATCGTGGATTTTCTTTTGCAAATACTTTTTCCTCCCATTGACAACGAAGTAAATCCGAAGATCTCACCTTGAAGTAGTTTCGAAATCTACCGGATTTTCCTTCAGGCTACCAGACGTAAACATCTGAAACAGAGTTGAATTCAATCAGGTCGTCATTTATTGTAACAAAAGGACGCGATCGTGAACATTTTTTATTAGTTACTTTACAAAGGAGATTCGACGATGCGGTCAGAAGGTATCGTCCATTCTACGAAATCATTTCTTCCGACCCATTCCGTCTAGTTTCTTGAATATTAATTATTGCGTCCTTCTGGAGGACATTAAAATCGGTCAGTTATGGTGAACCGAGAAGTGATTTAATAATCCTCTTCAACCAGCTTTCAGTTATGGAAGAATTGCGCAAATGCAACTTCTCAGCACTTCTGCTCTTTATTGATCCTTTATTCGTTCTCTTTTCTTTACGAGAAAATATAGAGTTACATCGGATACACATCATGTCTAGTAACGAGACACGACGGTCTCGTTGTAATAACTTAATATGACCAATTTAATTGTTCTTTACCAGAGGTCCTTAATAAATCGAGAGAAAATAGATTGCGGAACATTGACCCATCTAAATCATAAAAATACTGTTTCTTGAGAGTCGAAGTTCTCCGACGATTAAAAGATATCGCGTCTTCCCAAAGGAACTATCAAAGAGTATGCCGAGGAGCCAGAGTAGATGTAGAAGCGATCCTGGACCAGGGTCCATTGGCCCATCGTAAACTCATTAGACTTGCTGGAGCTCGACCGGTTGCAGAGCCTTGTAAGGGGGAAAAAAACCAACTCGTTCGCCTTTACATCTCGAATAGCGCCATTGTGAAGCAGAGGCGAGGATCTGCAGTCCTTTGAGATGCTATCCGATGAAGGGCCGAAGCACCGTGGAGACGTTTTCGCCGCCGAAATCCCTCCTGAGGTCCCTCTTCAAGGTTCTCGAATTACTCGGAAGTAGGCCCCGACCTTGCGCTTTCTGAAAAATCTCGACTCCACCTTGTACCATTCACCTCCGAGATGCGATTCCGAGATGATGCCAATCTCGTCCCGGCTTTCTGCACGATCTCGCGTCTTCAAGGTCCCAGGATGCTCTTTGAAGACCTTGTCCTCTTAATCGTCATTCCTAGAGTCCTTTTCATGCCTCCTCTCTAAGAGCAACCGCACCCTGCCCCCACCAGAGGTTATGAAAAAAGTATTAATTAATCGAGAAATTGCTCATGGGGCATCCAGCATTTCTTGTACGATGTTAACTTAACCATTTCAACGTGTTTGATCAGAGGAGACCCGTAACGACGATAACCTGCCGATAATTCGAATGTCTTTTTCGTCGTCCTTGCTGGAATCCTTTTCATGCCTCCGCTCGAAGAACAATTGCGCCATGACCCCACCTGAAATTTAAAAGAAAAAAAAATGATTAATTAATCGAGAAATTGCTCATGACACGCCTAACGTTCCTGGTCTGGTGCTTATTGAACCATTTCGACACGTTCGATTAAGGGAGACCAGTAATGGCGGGAACCTGTCGATAATCCGGATGATTTTTACTGTCCTGATGATCTCGCGTCCATTATCGATGTCATCGACGTAATACCGGTAATCCTGGTAACCGGCAAGACTATCAGTAAATAAGCATTTATCCTAACAGTTTCGTCGGCGTAGAAAGTGACTGGGTAGGCGTAATTCATTGTTACGACAGAGTGTACACAGGTCGTCCAATCACCGGAAAAAAAAGCGGCCTCATTGTCAGCTCGTCATCGACTCGATGCTAGATTGGAAGCAGCGATCGACAGCTGTCAGGTGTCTCGAGCGAAAGTACCAAAACCGGAGCTGGACAAAGTACAGAAAATAGTTGACCTGCTGGAAGGTGTCCTGAAACCGCCAAGAAGTGCCCAATCGAAGTGATCAGCGATCGGGAAATATTGCTTCCTAGGAGTTCTTGGTGCAGGGACACATCCAGACTGTGAACCTGGTAATCAGGGAAGAAAAAGTGTCGAATCGCCCCAGAAGGATCTGGCTCACCTTGGTTGAAACTTGTTCTCAGCCACATTCTTCAAGGGCATTGCCATTGCCGGGCGTTAGCTTGGAGAGGAAAAAGGGACTCCTATGAGCTGATCGCAGTTCTAGATCGCTAAGCTTCCTAAAAATAAAGGTAGAACCAGTGGAACGAGGTCCTGTAAGCGCCGGAAGTTGGATGAACAGAAAGGGATCATACCAGGACTGATGAGACCCTTTTTTGGGGGTCCTTTCGACGATCGCCTCTGGCCGTCATTTCGGAGCTTCCAGGGTGGTGCCTTTCTGCAACTGCACTATGATTATAATTTCGGGAGGATTGTTGGCGCAGAAATAAATCCCGTAGAAATTTTCAAAGCTTGCCATTCTCTAGTCATGAACCACTTCTCGGGTTTCTGGAGTCGCTGTGGGGTTCTTTTGCAACTCGCATACGTGGGAGAATTGTTCCACACCAATTTACCTTCCTCATTGTCCTGATGCAAAAGGTAAATGTGCAGTCCCTGCAATTACGTCCAGTGATTACCGCCTCATTCTGACAATCAGAGGCTGAAAACATGAGTACTGGCATCCCGAGGACAGAGGAGGTATTTTCTTCTCGAGGATGCTGCTGATGCGACATAATTACGGGATTAAGGTGAAGTGAAAACACCCTCGAGTATGACGCTTCGAATTAGACACTTTTTTCGTCAAGGTATCGGACCAAAATGTCTGAAAGTTTGGCCCTAGACTCGGAGCTCCTAATAATTATCCTGACATTGAAAAAGAATTTAGATTTTCGAATATTTTTCGACAGCCTAGACCAGAATCAAAATGACGAGACGAATGACTTCGATGATTTTCATTATTTTTCGCTTATTTGCAGATTGTCCACTGGCGGGCGAGAAACATGGCGGGGATCGTCGAGTGGTATCGTGATCTCATGAACAACAGAAGTGGTAACGAGCCTGATTTAATGAATTAATTTCTCTTTGAGTTTGGCGATCAAATCATTGATCACCTGGTCGATTCCGACGTGGGCTTGACTCTGAATATCATTCTGCAGATCCAAGGACCAAGGACTGGTTCCTGGCTTCTGGACCAGGACCCGTCATCACGATAGTCGTCACGTACGTGTACTTCAGCATCTCCGCCGGACCGAGGTACATGCGAGACAAAAAGCCATACACCCTGAGGAACACCTTGATCGTCTACAACTTCATCCAGATTCTGCTCAGCATGTATCTGTTTTACGAAGGGATGGCAGCAGGCTGGTTCCGGGACTACAGTTTCCGGTGTCAGCCGGTGGATTACTCGGACAATCCGAAGGCCTTAAGGGTAAAAAGTCGATCACGGGCATGAATCTAAAAACAAAGGGATAATGTTAAGGCGGTATGAAACGGGACATTCTACATATATCAATACGTCTAAAATTACATACACAAAAATTGCAGATGAGAACAATAGGTATGTTTAAAAAATACGCGAAGACGCTAGAAAAGAAAGATGGCCGCCGCTCGTTCCCTTGCCCGACATCTTGAGCGTCACACGTTACTTTCCATCCCTTCTTCTAACAATTAGAGACATGGTCACAGAAGTGGCTCCAAAATAAAACTAAAAGACTCTTAAAATCATGGTAACCTAAAAGTAATAAATCCTTAAATTAACATTTCAGATGACGCGCGCCGTATATGCGTACTTCATGTGCAAGCTGATCGAGTTGCTGGACACGGTGTTCTTTGTTCTCCGGAAGAAGCAGAGGCAGATCTCATTTCTTCACGTGTACCACCACGCAGCAATGCCACTTTGTGCCTGGGTGGGGGTGAAATTTGTGCCAGGTGGACACGGGACACTCCTGGGAGTCATCAACGCCTTCATCCACATCATCATGTACACCTATTACATGCTGTCGGCCTTTGGGCCGCAGGTGCAAAAATATCTGTGGTGGAAGAAGTACCTGACATCCTTGCAGCTTATCCAGTTCAGCATTGTCGGGGTCCACAATGCAAATTTGTTGCTCACCGACTGCGCCTTCCCGAAGACGCTCGCGTTCCTCCTCTTCGCGAACGCCTGCTTGTTCCTCTACCTCTTCGGCTCGTTCTACGCGCAGAACTATTTGAAATCCCGCGCCAAACTGCAAACCAATGGCGTCGCTGCGCCAGTCGATGACGCCAAGTCGGACTGAGCTCTGTTTTGCCGACCGAGCCGCTCGCTAGCGAGATGGAAAAACATTCTTCTCACTCTGGGGTACGCTGAAGTCGAGCAGCGGAGAAATGGTCCTTTTCTTACGCGAAGATGGCGGAATTAGGTCGCAGGACGAATTTCGTCGGATTTTCCGACCGACTAGGAACATTTCGACAGGGAAAATTTGGGTTTGAAATGCGATATCTCCGTTTTATGCTCCATTTTGTATATACGCGGAAAGCACGCGGAATCAACGCGGTAGGCGCATTAGGCTGATTGATTAAGCCGTCTTAAGGCCATTCCGCGTCGATTCCGCGTGCTTTCCGCGGGTATGGAAATATGGATATGGCAGTAGAAATCGACTTTTCCTTCGCCTCGGGTCTCCTACTTACCGACGCGGCGCCGCTCGGCCGTCGATAATCCAGCGATCTGCCGTTTCTTCGTTGAAAGTGGTCGATAAGGAAAGAGAATTTCAGACCGATTGTGTTCCGCGTAAATTTTTCGGAAGGGTTTTATTTATTTATAACGGGTGAGAATTCTTGGGGATTTCTTGGGGCGCGCCGCGTCGGTAAAGAAAAGAGCGATCGTCGATCTAAGCAATCAAGCCGGCGGATATCAGCGCAGTGATAACGAGAAAATTGACGTTTAATTACACGCAAGTGCGGGTGATGCGATTAATCGCCAGGAAAAATTGAGTGAACCGAATTTACACTTTCTCGTGGCAGGTAGAATTTACATGTACGCCGAATTAACGAACAATTAAGTACACAGTTAGTATATTTATGTACTGTCTAAGGGTTTCATCTCCTACCCAGAAATTCGATTTTACTAAAAAAGCGCAAATCAGTCTGAATCTCTTTACTTTTCTTCGGACAGAATTAAACAAATCGTCGCCGTTTTACAAGATAAAAGAGTAAATCAAATGTATGCGTCTATTGCCTTACAATTTGTACTGTTTCCACGGAAAAGTGTTCTTTGAACATCCAACTGAACAGTCGGCTTATCGTAAGTCTACCTTGAGAAAGCACCTTTCCAAAGCGAAATACAAGTATCTTTGTACAATTTCACGACAATTACACAGGTTTTGTACATCTTTTTCAAACGTTCGATGTAACTCCTGCCCGATACTTATTAGACTTTATTCCAAAAGATGCCTTCGAATTTCTGAATGGATAAGCGATTGACTTTATACAATGATATTCCGCACTTTTAATGTAACTTTGTACGGGAAATCGTGTACTATTATTTTTTTTTCTTTTACCGAAATTATTACGTACAGTGACGTCAGAGGTTTTTGGACACGAACCCACGTTTTGTTAAATAAAAGAGTTTTAAACCACGAGACTTAGTTAATTTCGAGGTCAAGATGGCGGCGATGGAGAAACTCAGAAGCCGAAGGGAAGAGAGCCTCGTGTTAACGGATATGTTAATAAAAGAAAATGGATTAACCGAATTACGATGCATCTGCATAATCAATAGCTGTAGGTGACCGATGTAAGGTCAGGACCGTGGGACCTGGAAGACCCTGTTTCCGGCTATGCTAAATCGCGTGTTTGTCCTCCACCTCGTCTCTCTACTAATAAAATGAAATGACAAAAAAAAACTAAGAAGCATTTTGGAGTACTCGAGGTATTTTCAGGGCCGCTCGCGAGTCTGATATCTCCGGAGATGCGGAAATGAAATCAGATTTACAGGTGAAAATTGGTACACGCGTCGCGTGCCACTTTGATAACATGAAACTCCCGGTAGGCCTTTTGGAGTATTTACTGGATTTTAAAAGGACACGTGTGAATTACTATACGAATTTATACAACGATAGAAGAATCGAAATGCCTTCGCTGATGAAATATTTCATCGATCGATGATAAGCCGAACGTCTTCAGGGTCTTACTTCCTGGGTGGGGATAAATCGTCATCGAAGGAAGCTCCGGGTGGGGACGAAGGGGACGACGACCTGGAAGAAATTCATTACACGAAACAAAGGTGTGAAATCACGTGGGCTATTTTTTAAATCGAAGCATATCGTTCCCCCGTTGATTTTTAATTAATTTCGTAAACGTGGCCTTACACACTCGCGCAAGCTCGGGGAAATTTGCCGAGGCTTAATTATTTTTATTTAATCAGTTGGAATTATTTATAACCAGTGCCTGCGTAATGGGAGGGACTCTCGTTGAGGGTCTGTCGAAATTTTTACTCAATGAAAATTTCTGCCTTTGGAGGAATATCGGTATCAATGGAGACTCGGGCTCTTAATGACGGATCGTCGCCTAAAATCCCGGGACAATAGCTACTAGGAATATCCGGCGAATCCATTACACCTTAGACAGCCTTTGCGAATAAATTACGACCAGCGGCTATGCAAATTGATGAACAGTGTAATTATTTACTCGTACAAAAATGTGACCCCCGTGACATCGATGACGTCCATACTGCTGAAAAATGTCCACTCTCGGCACACAGAGTGGCCCCGATGTCTTCATATATTCCTCTCCAATTAAGAAATAGATTAGCTGAAATCCTGAAAATTGATAAGGAATTGTCAAGCCAGGGGCGATGGAATACGTAGATTGCAGCTAGGTGTATGTACTATCAAATGACCTTAATGAGCATTGGTACTCGCAAGTAGTCCCTAATGCGGAAAGCATGCGAAAGCTTTTTATTATTAGAGCTGATTGCAACAATTACGGGTACGCATTGTTGGGAATACGGTTTTACAAAGAGATTAGGAAATCGACGTTGGATGTACTTTACCCATTGTTGGATTGCGCTATTGAGCTCCATTTCGCAAAGCCGTACCGAAGAACGTGCAAATTGTTTATGTCATTCTAATAAATTCACGTCGAGTGCCCTTGAATTGTTACTCGACGAGCGAGTCGTTTTTCCCCTGTCCGGAAACACGACACAAAGGAAAATTCAAATGCGCAGAAAAAGATGCACTCGCGAGAGTGGAATTTTAATTTCACCGGCAGGAAAAACCAAAAGTGTGGCCAGCAAAGTTAACAAGTCAAGTTAACACCTGAGAAATGTCTTTCGTGACACTTTTTCCACTTCTCGAGATTCTTTTAACCAGCTATTCGGTTTCCGCGCGATTCATTTTCGCGGCATTTTCCGACATTGAGGAAGTCGTACTATTGACTTGTCAATCGTTGGCGACTCATTGTATGCAAATGATGGAAGAGCAAAAGTTATATTACCGAAGACGATGCAAGTATCATCCTCTCTCCATATCAAAGGGTCGTCATTAATGGAAAGTCAATATCAAGCTTATCTGCTGGGAGTCCATATTAATTTTCCTCTACATAATTCTCTTTCAACAACCAAAAATTAAACATTCCCCTGAAAAAAAAATATATATATCAGTTAAAGTTTCTTCGCCTTATCAGAGCTTTTCGTGGAGTCTATCAATGAAACTTGAAATTCCTCTCAGCGATCAGAAAATAAAAATTGAAGTTCCCCTAAAAAAAAAACGTTTTAGGACAGTCGATCTCGTCGGAGCTTTCCATTGTCTATCAATGAAACTTCAGGTCCCTCTTCTTGGTGAAACTTCGTCGGTGAATGTTTCCTTTGAGAAAAATCTTCGGACAAAGTTCGCAAGCTCGGCTTGACTAAGACTTTCCTGGGACTTTTCGATTTGGCAAGAAAATGTCGAAAATACCTCTTCAGGGCGACCCGTGGACACCTTAAGGTCGGGCCTTAAGGCCATTGAATAAGGGTCAAACAACCGACTCGTCCGCACAGCCATACGCACGATTCAGAGTATGATAATTACAATACAATCGTTACGAGTATTATCGAGGGAAGGAAAACGATTTCAGTCTGTCCTGATACTCCGTGGTGGTTGGGTGGGTCGGAGGGTTCCTTTCTTCCTCGGAAGTCGACCTCAGGTGGACCTCATCAAGGTCTGAGCCTCCCCGAGTTCTCGAAGACGCTCCATCCGAGGAAGAAGACGAAGAGGAAGAGCGGTCGAAATTCTAAGAAAAACGTCTGGAGACATTGTGATAAAGAAGGGAGGATTATACGAGGATTTTGGGGATTTCGAGGATTCCAGGACCCCTCGATTTCTCGAATCCATCGGAAATCCCTGGACCCAGCATCCTTAGTCATCCGGAAGACTCGCATGTCGCAGACATCTTGAGGGTGAAGACGGATAATCATGGCGACCATTATCAGGTCTCTCATAAAGGGCTATCGGTACATCAATGAGGAAGTGGCAGGTACTCGATTCTCTTACCACCTTAAATAGGAGTATGTAAGCCTGTTAGTTAATCAAGTTGTTCTTACATTGCACACGAAAAAAAAAAAAAGGAAGAAACACTTAAAAGGTCCTGTTAATTCATCTTTTTACGTCTCTCCGTCTCGTCCTGATGAGATGCAAAATACCAGGGCATTCTATACCGCGGTTTCTTTTCCATGGAAAAGTCGGAAAGGAATGCAAAGATCACGCGTTATTGCGCGTCACCTGGTAATGACGCCTGGATATCGATTTGCATTTGTAAACTCACGTCGTGTTGGAAGAGAAAATTCGAAACCGTTGCAATAATGCAATTGTGCTCGCGGAAACAGGATTTACATGTAACATCCGCCATTTTTGCATCTCATGCCGTCCGCAAACGGTGACTATTTGCTCGACTTTTATGAGCTACGGAGTAAATTAATGGAATTATTTTTACTTCTCTGGGAAGATCCCAGGACGAAGGATTTCTTCCTCATTAGCAGCCCATGGCCAGTACTGATAATAATGACGTCGTACCTGTACTTCGTGCAAACTCTTGGCCCGAGGCTTATGGCGAATAGAAAACCTTTCAATCTCGACAGGATAATGCAGATATACAACGCATTACAGATCGTGTCCTGTGCATGCCTCTTTTACACGGTAATACATAAAGTCTATCAAGATTTTACATTTAAAGACATTTAAAAGAAATGTATATAAATATTTTAATTAGAAACCAGGAAAGTTACTAGCGATTCGCACGGAGAATTACTGCAGTGATTGCCCATTTGTTTGCAGGGAATAATCATAGCTTTTAAAAATAACTATAGTTGGGTGTGCCAACCTGTGGACTATTCGAACACCCCTGAAGCGATCGAGGTAGGCATTTATAAAAAGAAACCATGAAATACTTCCGATGTATAGTTATACGTCTTTCCCGTGCTTTGAGAAAGAAATGAAGAAATTTAAAAGTTCTTCTTTCGCAGGTCGCTTCTATGGTGTGGTACTACTTTTTATTAAAAATCCTGGACCTTGCCGACACGGTGTTCTTCGTGCTTCGGAAAAAACAAAACCAGGTGTCTTTCCTACACGTGTACCACCATACAGGGATGCTTGCGGGTACCTGGGCTGGAGTGAAGTACCTTGCAGGTGGCCAAGTCACCTTTCTAGGTGTGTACTTCATTTCCTAAAAAGTAAAAAAAAAATCCAATTTACCACGTGGCATAGAGACAAACCTGAAGAGCCAAGTCAAATTTAAGACGGCATAAAAATAGAGTTTGAGGAGTCAGCTATTTCTGAAATTTTTATCCGAACTGGATGTACCGCATTATTTTAAATTTCACCACGCAAATATGGAGGCTCCAAGAAAGGTCCCATTACGCATGAAAATTAATTTATCATAAGACATTTAAAAAAATATATAAACAAATTGAAAGAAAAATTTCATGGGTGTAAGGACTTAAGGCCTTGACATTCACGGTGGTGAAAATTCAAACAATTCGATACATCCGTTTTGGAGAAAAGTTTCATAAACGAGATCCCTCAGACGCCACTTTCGTGCCACCTTAAGGATCCTGAAAAATACACTTTCAGCCTGCAAGTCTAGGTTTTAAATTATTACTTACCGAGGAACAACTGTAGTAATCTTTTATCGTGGTCCTCGATTGCAGGATTAATCAACTGCTTCGTCCACGTGATAATGTACACGCACTATTTGCTGACGTCGCTGAAGATGGGCAGACCATGGTGGAAGAAGTACATCACGCAGATGCAACTGATGCAGTTCATCGCGATTCTGCTGCACTTTTCGCAGCTTCTATGGACCGAGAATTGCGGTTTCCCTCTCTGGCCGGCTGCCGTCTTGATCCCGCAGAATCTGTTCATGATCATTCTCTTTGCGGACTTCTACTACAAGACTTACATCAAGAAGCCGAAGGCGCAGATCGAACGGAACGGCATCGCGAAGGAAAGCAACGGCAAGACGAAGACCACCTAGGGACTCAGGCACCCCTAGGGACTTCACTTTCACCCTAGACTAAAAATCGACCCTCATCCTCGACCTCCCCTCCAAGATCATGCCACTCACCGATAAAGACTAGACTTCATCCCTCCACCCGGAGGATTCTCTAACAAAGAAAGTATCCCAGATGTACATCACCGACTTTGTTATACATTGCAGTATGTCGAAAAATAAGAATCATGTATTCTTTTTTTTTTTTACACGTGGTTCAATCAGGAAATATTCTTCCGTTCTTGAGAAAATGTGAGAAAATCGATTTTTGGGATCTAATTCGGGAGTGGTTAATCACCCCTTACACTTGTAAATTAACACATTAGAGAAATACCTGGCTCTTATTTTCTGTGTACTACAATATATGTCAGAACCTAGAATATCGGTGAAGAACACCTGAGATACTTTCCTTGTGAGACCTCGCCGAGCACCCTTAAGGGCCTTTGCAGATTCCTCGCGTAATTACAACTATAAGAATAGCAATTAGAACTGGGGAACGAAATTGCGGAAAATTTACTATGGCGCCCTATTTTCGACCAGACATTACTTTTACGCTTAGATTTACCGTTTCGCGAGGTATCTGAGAAGGCCTTAAATCGTTCATTGTCGACTTAGTGCGGAGATAATGCAGAATTGTTTGATGCAGTTTTTAACGTGGATTTCTAGTTCTAGTGTTAAAACTGTCATGGCGGCGGCTCGCCCGATCAGCTGGGACTCCCCAAACGCCGTTTCTGTGTTCTTTGCCACTACGGACTAAAGTCTGTTGTGGCGTGCCTGGTTAACTGTAAGATTCTAGTGCAAGGAACGACTGTTATGTACCCTGAGAAAGTAAAATACACACATTGTTTTCCAGTACTTCTGCGTATTTTATCACATAAAGAAGAATCGAGAGTCACCGCATGGAGAAAGACATTTGCAGTTTTAACAATGGACAGCATCCCTGATAAAGTTTTGCTCTCACTACAGAATAATAGCATCAATAAAAAAAATGTTTGCCATTATATCATTTAATTATACCAATTATACCAGGTCCATTTTCGAGTGCTTACATCTGCTGCAGCAAGTAAAATTTCTTATTATGATTTTGATTTTTTTTTCTTTTTCTGTTAACGGTAGCATCATGGTTTCCACATAGAAGTTGAAGACAGAATTGAAATCTAACCACCAGTCGGTATACGTCGTAGATCTCTACTCTTGATCATAGAAAATACCGACGAAGTTTCCCTATTACTTATTAAGATACCTAAACATTTAATCATTATTTCATTACAAATTTATCGATGGCAATTTACGAGGCATTTTACAAGTCTCCCCCAGTCTTCCAACATTTTGCAATGAATAAAATTTCTTCTTCTATTTGAGGAAATCCCGCAGTGATCGAGCGATATTCTCGATCGAGCGTTTTAATGAATGATCGATCGGCTAGATGGCAGCACGGGAACCGTGAAAAAAATCGTAAGGTCTAAGACTTCCCTCGTAAAACTTACAAGTCTGCTAATCGCTATCAGATAATTCTTCCTTTTTTTTTATTTTTATTTTCAATGTTTTTGGACGAGGAACAATATTTTCCTCCAAATGCGACAAGGCGTGAAAAATCCAGTGATAGTCATGATCGCGATGAGGTCGTGTCATTTTCGAATGATCTTTGTCGACCACTGTCTAAACGTGCCCAAGATCTCGGTCGTAAATCGTAAACCAATGACGAAGATCGTGACTTACGTGCATCTCGAGTCATCTTCCCTTTACCGTTCATCTTTACATCGCTCCGTATATCAATCACTGCCTTTTGTGCGGGATTAGTATCTCTAAAGGCCGTAGATTTTACGACATCTCATTTACGAGCCTAGTAACGAGCCTAAGCTCGGCCAAAAGTGAACCCCGCTAACGCGACTTTTCTAAACCAACCTTATTTGATGAAATAGAAAGTACCACTGACACAGATATTTCCAGGATAATTGAAACGAAGGCCCCTAAGGAGGCCGGATGAATCACTTAAAGCCGCTTTTTTTAAGACGAAGAGAATTATTACTCCGAATATTTCCGAATCTTCCACCTTCGATGCTTTCAACGGTACCTCGCTTCCACTTGCAAAATAAAAACCAATGTTATACTTGCTTTAACCCTGCCATAAGAGCGCCGCCATTTTGGAGCAGGATTAAAATTCACTCGACTCTCGCGTTATCCATGATATTTCTTATTTTATTTTTAACGTGTTACTCCATTAGCGTTTTACTCTAATTGCATATTTGGGATTCTTGTCGTTTCTTCGTCGATGGTATGTTTGTGAGTCTTGTCTCCGTTGAGAATATTTTCTAATATTAATATTACACATTTTTCGGACCAATGATCATCCGTCGAGAATATTTTCTAATATACATATTAGACATTTTTCGGAGGATGAGCAATCTCGTAGCCCAGGGCCGTGTAAAAAATGCCGATATCTAGAGAGAATCTCTATGAGTAGTAATTACGTTCGCAGTGACCAAACATCGAATAACTGTTACACGTAAGAGAGGGCGTCCAAAGTCCCGGTGAGAAGGCTCCATGGCCCACTTTTCGGAAGCTGCGGTCCACCTGGAGATGCATATAGCAGATCCCTCTCACCTAAGATCCGGAGCAAGCCGTTACTTCCTCTTACGATCGTCACCGAAAATTAGGGGGTCGACAAAGCGAGAGGTGGAGTTTCATTTTCGACCGCTTCGACGGGATTCCAATCGACTTGACCCTGAAGAGCTACCTCCGAGATCAGCCGACAATTTCCCTTAATTTCATATTGACTTCCGACAATTACTCTGAACTACCAATCATTTTATTTCATTGACTCATAATAATTATTTGACTCGTAAAAACTCAAAGAAATTATCGTAATTCGGAAAAGAAAGGTCGCATCCAATTTATTCCCGTTTCATTGAGTCAAATAATTATATTCGGAATAATTCTATGATTAAATGAAACTTCTTCCTCGGTGTGATAATTAGCAAAGCTCGGGAGGAATTCCATGATTTGTCTGCAACGGAAATATGAACGTCGCCCTTAGGGAATTTCCCCCAGCTGAGAGAATTATGAAATGATCGAAGAGTCCAGGTCCTGAGATTTCTTTGTCTTGATTTCTTTCTAGGAAGTCGCGGAAAATAAATTCCTGTTTTCTTGCTTCAAGGTAACGACGAGCTACTTTGCATACGTCGTTCCCGGGCCGCGCAGGTGTGCAAAATTATTTCGGCATTCTTCTAGGTATATTGCACTTGACACGCTTTGAACAGGAGATGAGGAGTTCAGAAGCATTTGTAATAAGGTGACAATCGAGTACGTCGTAGCGCGTGGAATAACTAAACGAGCCGACATATCCATAATTCAGCGAATTACTCATTACGCTTGGCTTTCTTGGCCGCTCTTTTGCGGCAATTACGCTTTCCGTTACCGCTCCAGAACGGTAGAATTAAGTATTCATAAATCTAGCAGCGGTAGAGATTGCTCTCGATTATGTCGATCCTGCAAGTACTAAAACCCGCCCCTATTAACAAAATAAACGGTTATAAAAATAATAAAAAAATAAACGTTATAAATAAAACCAGGGAATTCGATACCACGAAAATCCACCTTACAAAAGAAACGTAATTGAATGGTATTTCTTGATTTTTCATATTTGTAATTACCCTCAAGATCATCCTCCAGGAAAAACAAGTAAAATCCACGCCGTAATGAATCAGTCTAGAGATGTAATAATTGAAATCTCCGATTTTTAATATTTATTTGAAATTAATCTCTCTAAAATGGAGAGAACAGCCATTGAATTTCAGCGGACTTTTTTGGGACTCGTGGAATGCCATGGGAATTTTTATGTTCTACCGTTTTCCAACGAGTCTATATTTCGATTGAGTATTTATAGAGCTAGTTTCTTCTTGGGGCCCGGACTAGGAACCGAATCTGGGTATCGAATCGGTCCTTACGAAATAAAAATGGTCAATTCTCGCGACCTGACCACTGGAACGTGGCAAGACCTACTTTACGTTCGACACTCGGTCAAGTTTAATTCGTAGCTGGACCGTGAAGCAAGTTCCGCCTCCGACCAGGACTAACGGTGAATTACCAAAGTGTCTAACTAGTGACATACACTTTGGCAGGACTAGAAAGTAGAGGCACCTCTCGATGATATATAGCCGACCTCTGGGGAATTGCGGAGGATTCCCTTATTAATTTTTAGCCGGTTCGTTCCAACCCCAGCGCCTCTTCGGGGTCCTCTTCAGGATCGCCCCGGGTGTTGTCCACGTGGAAATAATGGTCTCTCTTGGCAAGAGAAATCTCTCCACTAGAGCCCACTTTAAATAACATGTATTGACAAGAATAAGGAGGCATCTTATACGGCGTGGAAACGTGCACAAAGAAATCTTAGATTTACATACCGAGGATAATTACCGAATTATATAGGAATTGCATATGCGCGATGTCAAGGTACTTTAAAAAGGATTACCTTTTATTTATACTGCTTGGTTGGGAGAATCATTTTTTTAATCATGAAAGTTAGGGGTTACGTTAGTGACGATTAAGAGGGGTGGGGAGGAGTGGCGATTAAGTGGGTATTATTTGCGTATTTTTATTTTATTTAATTATACGCGTAATGAGTATTACAAAATGCCTCGGCATATCCATTCCATGTTCCATCCATTTTACCAATACCTCGGTCTTTATTCCGGACAAACAGGGCATTAACATTTTTGTCGGTAAATATTCAAACCGTCCACGTACTTCAGTCTTCACTAAAGAGTACTATTCTTCAAAAGACCTCACTAAACACTAAAATTCTAGGAACGCGTCGAAATCCCGGCTCACGGACTAAATATGAATCTGAACTTCAGAACTTCCATTTTCTTCGCGACATGCGTTATCGCGTAGACAAAAGTAACATTGCACGAGCGTTTGTGGCCTCTCTTCGGCAATTAATTCAAAGACTCCCTTCCTTGAACTGCAAACTTTTTATCCCCTTTTTATCTCATACGGATGAACTAAACTCGATAAATATTAATGGCGTCATCTGCAATTTATATGACTCGAGTTTGCTTTACGCATTGTCCGTACATAAGATCTGCTTATTACTTAAATTATGCCTTTGTCTAGTTTTCCATTTTTTCTCCATTGTCACAGACTGCGATCATTTCCGATGCACTCTTTTTAGTACCTTATTCGAGTTCACCGGAACCTGATGACGAGGTCCAAAAACTCGTTCCATTCACCAAACCGGCATTCCACTGATCTACTTATTTATCTAGGCGAGAACCAATAATAATATGACGGCTCGACAGGTATTCATCGCATTAAAAGAAAAAGATCGTGAGAAAAGTCGAGTGTCTTGTGCATCTAATACCTATGTCAAGGATACATATGAATTGCGATGCTATGCACGCACATGATAATTATTTTCCTGTCGTGTTTGTAAAAATCCATCGATTATTCTGTCATGCCGCGAGCTCAGACAAAAGAAATCGAAAATTTATATCTCTTCCCTGGCGAAGAAATATACGAAAAAGGAATGAATCGCAATCGATAAGTCCATGAACATAAAAACTTTGTCGCCCTAAATGACGATTAAAAATCCCCGGGCAAAATTGATAATTCAACCTTACTACCCAATATGTCGGTTTGAAATTGTGCCCATAATTATGAAAGTGATTTAAGTCAAAATTAAAAAAAAAATGAGTTTATCAGTTATTTTACGCCATATTATTTCAAACGAAATTAATTCAATGTAATTTCGAAACAAAAAATATATGACTTAGACCACTTTCATAATTATGGGAACAATTAACCCCCAAAGTGACAATGCATACTTGCCGCCAAAAAATTGATAATTTAAAAGTAACCCCTCACAATGGCGATATATAAAATCAACACCAAAAATTGACAATAATTAACACCCGAAACGTCAATTTATGCCTATCGCCGAAAATCAGCATCTCAAAATCGTCGCCAAAAATGGACAATGTAACCCCTTCGCCCAAAGTGGCGATTTAAAATTATCCCCCGGAACGCGATAGTCTGCCATTATCGCCATTATCACACCTCCTCGGAGTTATCGCGTCGCGAGCCGTACGTGGATTACTTTCGTGATTGTTTTTTTTTTTTTTATCAGAGCTGCATCGATACGCACGCACCCGGAGTGCACCTTACACGCATGACACGCGTGATACGTGCCATACACGATATGGGCCCACCTGTGCCCTCTACCTTCCCGGTGGACGAAAGGCGGAAGGAGTTAGCTCTGGTGGGGAGTCCTAAAGCGCCGGCGATGGTCTCCGAGCGTACAAAGTCGTGCACCGAATGTCAGTTCAAGAAAAGCCGGAGACGAGCAACCGGCTTCGACGAGGACCGGCGGCCAGGGGACTCCTTCGAGAGAATAGCAGGAGCCCTTCCTCCAGGACGAAGGACCCAAGCCCCGTCGACGCCGACTCCACCGTCAGTCCTCTCGCTCGGCCGAGTCCTTAAGGTGATATTAAAGTGGCATGAAAAAGTTGGTGGAAAAAGGAAAAAAGAAAAAGAACATTTCTCCGAACTGGATACACCAAATCGTCTCAACAATGACAACGTTAATCTAGAGGCAATGAAAAAAGGTCCTGGCAATGAAGAAACTTGATTTTTCAAAAGGTTGACTACAGATGTTTAGACATTTTTTTTTTATATCAAAAATGAAATTTCATAGGTGTGAGGTCCTTTCTTGGATTTACATGTTCACGTCAGTTTGATACGATTCGGTACATTCGGTTCGGAAAAAAGTCTCGTGAACGATTGACTCGTTACTTTAAGGTGATATGAAACTGGAGGGTGAGGGATAAATCGCTCATGAAATTTTCCTCCGAACTGGGTGTACCGTATTGTTTGAAATTGCACCACGTGAGTTAATTTGGCTGTAAACATTTTTTTCATTTCTTATGAAAATTCAAGTTTCTTGGGTCAGGACCTTATTCCGGGATCCCGCAATTACGTGTGGAATTTTAAACGATTCGGTGCACCTAGTTCGGAGGAAAGTTTCATAAATGAAACCCTCCGGCGGGACTTTAATGTCACCTTAAAAAGAGCGAATGAGAGCACTAGCTTCGTGAACTTGCCCTTAAAGTTTCCCTCTTTGCAGCCAAATTCCGAAGAACATGGCGAGCCTTATTCGATCGGTCGTCAGCAACTACGATGAAATTATCAAGACGAACAAGGGTAAGCCAAAAAACCCATGAAACAATATTTTTTTTTAGTATGTGAAGCGGACATAAATGAGAGTAACTAAATTAACAAACTCGTCCTTAGGACGAATCTCAAAACGACTCGGTTAGAGGTTTATTAATATGAAAATTAAGCGCGAAATTTTTCCATAATCAGAGGCGGTGATATAATAACTTACCTAGAGATACGGAGGATCCAATTCTGGAGAAGATGTCCAGAGAATACTTCCGGAAATTTTCGGAATCAATTTGAAAATTTTAAGTGGCATATAAAGTAAGCGGCTATGTGAGACTCGTGAAAAGTTTGCGAGAGAGGTTGATTGGAATATCTTCCGGGTGTTTCCCCTCATTTCCATGCGCGCGGAAAACCGACACGGAATGTCTTGGAGACACCTTATGCCGCATTGATTCCGCGAGCATGAAAATGAGGCATTGTTGGGGGGATTCATTGTGAATGAATTTGGAAGAGTTTCGAAAATGGAAAAATTAGAAGCGTACCTGGAAAAGGGGGAAGTGAGGGAAGTATCAGGAGAAATCTGGAAGCGGTTACGAGATGATCCGAAGCCTCTTGCTACGGAAAACGAGGACGCGCCGTAATGGCGGGTAACGTTGCTTCCTGTGCACATTAAAATTTTATGACGATACGGAGCCGAGGTACCATAGTCATTGTCATGGTTAACACTTGCTAGGCGGCGGTTAAACCCCAATAATGGTGCCATGCTTTTCCCCGACAGAATCCTCCTTTCGAGGACGACCCGAAAATCCTGCAAGAAAGATCCCGCCTCGCTTCTTTTGCAAATTTGAAAAACCGCGTCAGCACTTGCAAATTACTGTACTGCTTAGTACACAATTATTTCTTTCATAGTGACGACAAAATTGACGTATGAATATTAATTAAAATTTAACTGCCGGAAGAACGAGCCGAGATCCTCTGCTAGGAAGTTTCGAGTCGCTGGTAATTGTTCATTAATACATTTATTCGAGAAGAATACAGAACACGAGTTAATGAAAAATTGAGCAATCTCGAATATATCGTGCATTTAATGCATTTAATGCAACATATGTACACGCGAAACAATCATAAGGGAGAGAGAACAGATCCCAGTGGACTTTACAAGATATCTTGAAATTATATTAAATCCCGATAAACAAGTAATCAAGTAGATAGAGAATCAGCCTTGTTTAATATAAACGTATCCAAAATTTATAATGACCTGGAATAAAACTCTCTAATAAGCAAATTCCTGCACAATGAGTCGTTGTTTCCCGTGTCGTAAGACTCGTATCATATATCGCCGCGGTTTACATGAGTAGATAAATCCACGTTTATATTAAAGAAGAAAGAGAAAATAAAATATAAAAATATGGTAAATATAAATCCTACGTGTCAGATCCTAAGGTGGACACATGGCTTCTTATGGGATCCCCTGGACCGGTGTTTTGCATCCTGGCCATGTACCTCGCGTTTGTGATAAAAATCGGACCAAAGCTCATGGAGAAAAGGCCACCCTTCGAGCTAAAGACCGTAATGATAGTGTACAACGCCATCCAGGTGGTCTTCAGCATATGGCTATCCTCCTTGGTGAGCATCTTCACTTTTCTATTAATCCAAACTAACAATGGATCGACCTAACCTCACATACTCGTCTTCCAGGTCTTTCGGCACGACTTGAAGCAGTTACTCAACAGCAATTGCGCGAACCCAAATGTCTTAACACAGAGCGCGTATACCGAGGTAAGTACGTCCGACGTCTTCGTAAAAAACCATCCGGCAGATTAATCCACGTGCGACAATTTTTTTTACATGTCGTCGCTCCTGCAACTTCCGTCGCTTCGTTTGCTGCCCACCCTAAAGTTGTACTCTGCTGCTTGGTGGTACTTCTTTGCGAAAATCGTCGAACTTATGGACACGGTAAGTGCGGACAAGAATTGCCAAGATGGCCGCGCAATCGGGATCTCGCAACGGCAGTCGGGCCGGAAGACTTATTGCAAATACGAGACCCACTGCGAAATCAATCGACTTTTTCGCGGTGAACGAGTCACCCGCTTGTGAAATGACAATTGTTCGGACCGAGATCCGTTTGTTGGGGCGTTTATTCAAAGAATTACCATGCGCCTCCTTTTCCCCAGGTCATCTTTGTCTTGCGCAAGAAGAACAATCAGGTGACCTTCTTGCACGTGTACCATCATACAGTGACCGCCTTATTTTCCTGGTGTTACCTGAAGTTGGCGCCAGGTGAGCAGGGCATTGTCTTGGGATTCCTTAATTCGACGGTCCACATCATCATGTACGCGTACTACATGATCGCCGCCATGGGGCCGAAGTACAGGAAGTACATCTGGTGGAAGAAGTACATGACGTGGATCCAGCTGGTAAGCATTATGTGTAGACTGGGATTGAATGGCATGAAGTTTGTCCACTCACCATCTAATCACTCCAAATTTATCCGTTCCACCGAAACGATTTTAAATCCGATTCCACCCCGAATTAATCCCGAAATATTTAATTAAGAGATTAAAGGGTCGTTCTGTATATATCAAAACATGAAAATTTTTATAAAACTTTTCTATAAACTAGGTGCAATCTGAAACTTTCCCACGTGATTAAGGAAGCTCTAATGAAGGTCTTAAAAATCACGAAATTTAATTTTTCGAAAAAAAAAATGTCTTTTTTCGTTCTTGTCCGGGGTAAAAACAAATTTTTTTTTTTTTTCGAAAAATGAAATCTGAATTTTAAGAGCGTGTTTGGGTCTCCATGAGATTGCATTGTTTAAGACGATTCGATGTTTCGGCACTTTCGAATTCAGATGTGTAGTAAAACCGGAAGTACTTGAAATGGAAACGTGATACATGTATGCTGAATTTCGAACAATCCCGACTCCAACGGAAAGGTCGAGTACATGTATTCGATATTTCGAACACTTTCACACGCAAATGTATACTAAAACCAGAATCATTCGAAATGAAAATCGGAGAAATGTATGCTACGATACGAGAAACACGAAATTTGTACAAAGTATTAGTGAAAGTACTCAAGGATTAATTTAGCCACGAAAATGTGAACTCTTGAATTTTTACAATTATATCGGCGAACTTATGGAACAGCCTAATAACTCGGCAAGCAAGAGAGAATCCTGATAACCTTATCTTACTGTGACAGATTCAATTCGGCTTGATGCTCAGTTACCTGGTATTCGTCCTGGCAATGGACTGCAAGATGCCAAAGGGTGTAACGTACTTCTTCGTCACGAATGTCGTAATCTTCATCTACCTCTTCAGCGACTTCTACCGGAAGGCATACAAGAAGAAACAGGCCTAGAACAAAGAATCTCTCGCGTTCTCGCGAAAATGTAAACAATGTACAATGCAATTCTTCTCCTCGGCTGCGGAAGTTGGATCAAAGTGTCCGATACCAGTCCACAGGTGGAAGGTAACTTTAGGGCTAAAGGTTCTCCTGAAAGGGCGTCGGCCATTTTTCCAAAAAAGGGCCGATGAAATGCAGAGAAGCCCAGAAAACCTGCCTCGATAAATTGATGAAAGCTCTCTCGGCGTCCCTCGTCGGGAAATTTCGAGCTTTTCTGAATCTCTCGACGAGGAACTCTTTCGAAGGTACCAAAACCGACACGACGCGAGACGTTACCTAGGAGTAAGTTTGGATATCGAAATCGGGACCTCCCCCCGGATTCCTCGGTTGAGAGTACGGAGGAGATACGCTTGTTAATTAATTAATTGTTATTTATTGACACAGTCACGCGAAACAAACGACTGATGTTCTACGAATATGCTTTATTGTACAGCAAGTGTGTAATCGTGATATTATACAAAAGGTGAACGTAATTCTCGACCGAGCTTATATCACCTAGTCCTCCTTAATTGTTAAGCACGTTCCTAGTATAAACTTCCTCGGATAAAATATCCCTTCGTCGACGCGACCCAGGTGAACCAGGTTAAAGGTCGTCCTCGAATCTCTTTGATTTAAGGGCGGTCGGTACAAAAAGGGCGCCTCTTTTCTACCGGACATCTTGTTAATGGTTTTAGGGTAAACGATTATCCATGGCTAGGGGGTCGAATTGACAGTGCACCTGACGTTAGTCTCCCCACAGGGGATTTTTGTATTAGCCCTCCGGAAACGGGGAGGGATGACACCTCCAGGAATGCCGCATGTAGTATAAAGACGACCGCGATAACAGTGATTGACGGTGATAAAGATGGCCACGCACGTGCGACTAATCGTAACCAAGAACATCTGCACAAATTTAACCGGCAATTTAATCGACGGTTAGTAATATCTTCCCTCGTGCAGTTCATGGGAACGAGTTGACATGTACAATCGGTTTATCTACACCGACTACATTTGCGCAGATTTATCGAAACGCGTGGAACTCCACGCGGAAAATAGAAACTTGCACTTTTAGCAAAGGACAACGTTGCTGATAAAATTTTCCCCTTCCTGCGGGAATAAATAATACTTCGACTAAATTAACAAATAATATTCCGCAGAAAGGTTCCGAGGAATTTGATTTAACTGCGCAGATTACAAATCGCTACGATTTGTCGTCGTCTGGCCATCTTAAGAGGCGACTCGCGGCCGAAAAGGCGGAGAGGAGAAGAACATCTGACTCGCAAGCTATTATTATTGCGTCGGAAAAATCCCGTATTGACTCATTGCAGTGACATTACGCTATCAATGCGCGATCACCTCCCTTATCACGTACGCGAGTTGATTTTGGAAGACTTCCTCGAAATTCCGAGCTTCAATTGAACTTCTCGACCGAGGGAGACTCGTACGAGAACGCGACTTCAGGTGGAGGGCAGAATCGAGCATGTATGAGTTCAACGCCGAGTACATACGCACATGTATGCTTTCCATATATAGATGTACCGTATACATGTATAAATATACATAGAAAATTTCCACGCATAGGTCGCGCGCCTGTTTCGGTATTTAAAGCTATCGAATGCGCGTAATGAGCATTTGGAGTAGGCGCGACCTTAAGGAAGATAAGGAAGAGGGAAATCAGGAAAGAAAGTCGAAGAGAAGTCTTGGGCCTGCTCCTCAGGGATGCTGCGAGCGCGATTCTGGCAATAATCCACCATCTTTGGGCCTTGTTACACCGTCGAAAAGTAGCTGAAGAGTCGCGAAATCGTTTCAACAGTTGTTTCGTCTCGAATAATCGGAAGGGGGTAGAAAAAGGTAGAAAATGTAGAAAAACGAATGTAATCAGGGAAGACTTCACCGTGCAGGTGAGCCTCGCAAATCTCGGCGCCGATTCCAGTACCTTGTACTATCTAAGTACCTGACAATCTAACTTCTCCTATACCTAATTAACATTAATTGCTACAGTAACGAGTTAACCAGGTCTAAGTCGCCGTTAATCGATGACGGTCTCTCGGAAGCGATCGGATTATTTGATAGACTTGTATTAACGTACCTAAAAAATATCCCACGGCCTTAAGACAGAAGTCCTCGGCATTGTACGATACAGTCCAATTATTACCACTTTGCCTATTTAAGGCGGCATGAATTTAAGCGTTTAAGTAATCTCGTTTATGAAATTTTTCTCTGAACCGGATCTACCGAATGGTATAAAATTTTACCACTTGAATATAAAAGCCCTAAGATAGGTCCTTACATCCATTAATTCTATTTTGTTAAAACTTGTCTATAAACATTTTATTAATTTTGTATAAGACAAAAACAAATGAAACTACATGAGAGCCAGGACTATTCTTAGAGCCTCCATCCTCACGCGGTAAAATTTCAAACAATTCGGTAGTCCCAATTGACAGAAAAGTTTCATGAACAACTGACTTTTCCGCTTCCATATCGCCTTATAAACTACAATAAACTACATTCATTTTAATGGAGAACGTGTCCCAGGGCCACTATTTCCATAATTTAGAGTATTTAATTGTATTCGAAATCTGCGGCTCCTGTTAGCGTCGTCGAAGTCACCTGCATAGGAGAGATCGCGAGTCGCCGCACTCTCCGCATCACTTTTTCTTTTATTAATTTACTGTCAATTATTAATTACTCAATTCCCTGTTCTAGCAGTAGGGCGACGTCGCGACTGAGTCTAGATATTCAGAAGAGTGGGATAAACCTGAATTCTGGAGATTTTCCAGGGATTTCTAATGTCTACTTTGACTGGGCGAGCCGCGCCCTCGACCATTGTCTTTGGCCGTGGAATATTTCCTTAATATCTCGAGTGAGTGAGCAAACTCCCAGTTATATGTATTTTCGGCCAGTCCAGCCGCCGATTAATGTTGAGCGGTAGAGAGGGAACACGCTGACCCAATTCTACGACGCATATACGCCCGATGAAACCGGACCGTCGAGCAGGTAAAGTAGGGATCTATATGCCCCACGGTAGGAAACCTCAGACCGATGAGGGGAAGCAGGGGGAGACTTAATAAGATCTTTTCGATCTAGGGAGGGATCGCTTTCGAACGAGGAATTCGATCGTCGATCGGTCACTCGACCGCTCGATTTCGCGAGCGAAGACTGACAAGGCTCGGAAAATCCCGAGAGAGTTTCCGTAGAAAATGATGAAATTTAATTCTCGAAATCACGGGCAAATCAACCGAAAATCACGAACATAAATCACGGGAAATCGTTAGAATACGTGGAAACTATGACGCGATTTTAAGGCCGCACGTCACTTGTTACCGAATCACGTTGTTGCTTATCGCATGACGTCAAAGGCAATTGGTTATCAAATAAGGGAACCGTTTTCACTGATTTCCAGGTGAATAGCCCCTCGGAGAATCCTGAAGAGAGACCTAGGACCCGATTCTTGAGTCCATACGATCAACTTTCGCATGCAAAGTGACAGTTTCGCATACGACTTTCAAGTGTTGACCAATCACGCTGTTTGCAGCAATGCCCAATTTTTTTATGCGAAGCTATTCGTATGCGAAAAAAAATCCTTACGGACTCGAATTCGGGTCCTGAAGGAAAGCGGATGGGATCATGGACGTAGATCGTATGGACCCCAAATGCCGATTCAACTGTGACGGCAATAAACAGGGAACGCTCTCTTTCTCTAATTTTTTCTATGATTTTGGAAAACGGCGGCAAAGCGCAATATGGCGACAGACTATCTGAGCAAGAAAGAAAGGATCGTCCTTTTCGCATTCTGTTTATCTTGGTGCTGTCGGAAGAACGTCCAAGCAGTGATTACGCATTTGGAAACCATATATCCTAAGTCCATAGGTGGGAAGAGGTCGATTAATTTTGGAAGCAGTCGTTTCGGGGAGAGGGGGCTGTGAAGTCGATCTCGAAGAGGGTTAATCGCAATGGCAACTTCGAAGAGTCCCGAAATAAATCTCGGAGAGAGTTAGCCATGACGTCAACCGCGTTAACCATGACGTTAACCTCGTCGTCGAGACAATGACGTTGAAGAGATCGGTCGAGAACCTCGAAGAGAGTTGAGCGAGAGGTCGACCTCGAAGAGAGCCGCGAAGTGAATCTCAAAAAGACTCAACCATGTCGTCAACCTCGAAGAGAGTCGACCCGACCAACCAAAGACTAACTTCCCCTCGCCCCATCCGATCGGTCGGTTTCCTCCGGGATGGACGGTCAGGAATTGCGGGAAGACGTCCGATCCGGGAACGGCGGAAGCTCGATTCTACCCCCTGAAGAGTCCCCGGGAGGTGCGCGCCCCCAGCCGGAAGTCCCAGCCAGCGCGAAGAGGTCCCTCGGGAGGGCCGGCGACGACCAGGTCGGGCCGACCGGGAGTCGGCCGGAAGGTCCGATCGGGAGGTCGCGTTCGCTTAAGTTCTACCCGGAAGAGCCGAGGTCGGTGTCTACGCGTGTTTCCTGAGTGCGAGCCGAGGTCGATCGGCAGCGCGGACGTCTTTTCCCGGCCGTTCGCCCAGCCGCCCCCCGGCTCAGGCTTTCTTCGCTTTCCCCTCGTGGTTGACCCCGTTGGTGATCTTCCTGGGGTGGGTGTCGATCTCCTCCTCCTTCCGGCTCCTCTCGGCCTCCTGCTCGAGCTTGTTCCTCAGGCTCTCCCTCTTCTCCTCGGCCGAGGTGTACGCCTTGTTGTAGAAATCCGAGAAGAGGAAGTAGAAGAACATGACGTTCGGCAGGATCAGGACCAACGACCACCGGGGGTAGTCGCAGTCGTAGAGGAGCAGCTGGAAGCTGTGCACGAACGCCAGGCAGAATTGACCCTGAAGAGATCATAAGGAGGCCGTTGGAATCGTTTAGAGGAGACCTCGCTTCCGCCGGTGAAAGCGCGGATCGAGAGCGAGCCGATCTTTGCGTCTCCTACTGTTACCGAGTATAGACTGTGCGTGTACACCGTACCATTTGCAGAGTCGTTATGTACTTCTTCCACCACAGGTACTTCTGGTACTGCGGCAGCAACGCCGCCAGCAGGTAGTACGCGTACATCACGATGTGGACGAAGCTGTTGATGACCCCTGTCGATTGAAAACGACTCGTCGGTATCGATTTACTGCGACATATCTCGACATATGGAAACGCGGGCAGGACTGCTCGACGACTTTCGATTCGTCGAGACTGGCTCCGCTGCCGAGGTGACGGGAGAAACGGACAGTCTACCCGCGACGGAAACTCCGCACTCGATGGACAATATTAAATACTCGGCATATATTCATATCCATAAATGAAGACGGGCAAGAAACGTCATTTACCGGCTAGCGTTTTTCGAGTCCACAATACGCGGCGGAACTTTTATATTTTATCACTGAATGGAATTATTAGGGTTAAGGAACATCGATCAGCTATTTACGGTGATATGAATGGCATAGGACCATGTGCATAGGATTTAATATGTGTTATTAGACACTCATTGCGCGTATGTTAGGCATTCAAACATAAATATCCATTAATAAAAATATACCCAAAATGGTGTTTTTCCATACAAAGTTTTTAGAACCCACAGAGTAACGCGGCAAGAATTTTACGGCATTACTTTACCATATGCACGAAGTTTAATGTGGCATTGCACCCTCATTGCACGCATATTAATCCCTCAGGCATATAAATATCTATGAATAGATATGATCCAAACATGGCGCTATTCCATACAAAACTGTTAGAAGTCACAAAATAACGCGGCGAGAATTTTACGGCATTACTTTACGACACGCACGAAGTTTAATGTGTTATTAGACACTCATTGCACGCATATTAAGGAGGCAATTGTTAACAAATGGGTTATTTGGCGTTCGTTCCGCGTACAGCTCACTTCTTCGGGTTTATGACGCGCCCCCTTCAAGTAAAGCGATAATACCTGAAGAGCGTTTAGTCGAACATGTAACATAAAGTCTCCCGGATGGAATGATCTCACTTCATCTTTACATCATTAAATACCAGTAATTCGTGCCTCCCGTAATTACAATAATTAATTCGGGGGTAATCAAACCCTGAGAGATCATTTTGTCAGATGGAATCCTCGACGTTCCGGAACAATTGCAGCTTCTTTACATTATACACGTTTATACGTTTACATTTATGCGCGGATTTATACATTTATACGGTATTTACGACGACTTCTGTAGTGCTCTTCATGTTTGCCGAGTTTACGAGCAACGACTCTTAGCCATGGAAAACTCGCCGAGAAGACGAACGAGACAAGTATTGCGGGGACTAAATGAATGTCTCTGGTATTCTTGCCAGTAACTGGCATTGTGGTGGTTAAACGAAGGAACTTTATATTGTCCAACGAGTTAATTACCGAGGTACGTACCTATGAACGTGCCATGTCCTCCTGGATAGTACTTGGTGGCCCCCCATGATATCAGAGGCATCACCGTGTGATGGTACATGTGCAAAAACGTTATCTGCTTCTCCTTTTTACGCAGCACGAAGAAGACCGTGTCCAAAAGCTCGGAGATCTTCGCCAGGAAGTAGATATACACACCTCGGGCGATCTATGTAAAAAGACAATTCATATCACCTTCAGAAAGTAAAAATTAATTTCTCACGATCCATTACAGGATAATACATTCAAGGCGATGTAAAAGAGGCCTCGTTTATGCAAAGTACAGGAATGGTGAAATTTCAATTTTTTTAAATTTGTTATTTAGACATTTATTAAATGTATTTAAAAAATGTAATTCTATGGATGTCAAGACCTATCTCATAGCCTCAATATTTAAGTTGTAAAGTTTTATATGATATGGTATACCCAGTTCAGAGAAATATTTCATAAACGATTCACCCCTCAGATAACAGATAACACTATCGCATTAATGTGATTTTATTAGTAATGAATAGTTGAAAGGAACTTTCTTTTATTGCTACTTCAAAATATGATCATGTGATTGAAGGTGCCATTGCAGGAATTATTAAGTAGCTTTCCCGTTAAGAAATAATCATATCCCAGTAGCATTTATCTCATAATCTTAATATAATATTTTAGGTTAATGGAGATTGTAAATGCAACTATCGCTCTACATTTGTTAACTTGGGTGCTGACAATTATTGCAGACCAGTAATACCTGGATCAAGTCTCGTGATATCCTATTTTAATTCTCGCTTTCGGTTCGATCAAGACGTATTCCGATTTGTTATAAATAAAAAGGCCTGTCTGGCGTAATTATTGCCCGCGGGACGGCGGCGATATGTTCAAGGAGGAAAAGTTTTACTCTCACTGCCAGTTTCCCCTCCCACAGCGGCTTTCCTTTTACGTGGCCTGAGGAGGTGTAAATCCCGCGCACTGACCTTCCTTAACAAAGGATATCCAGGACTGAACTTGACAATACTCCTAAGACTCTTCACCATTTAGAATGACAAAATCCCCTCGAAGAGAAAATAAAAAAAATAAAAACCTCTCCCGCCCCTCGAAATCCGGATTTGATCAAGGAAAAAATTCGCCGCCAGAGTCGCGGTATCCTTTTTATCGGTTGAACTTTTTTATTTTGGGTCTGAGTCAAGGAAACTCGGGGGTCTATTTTCGTACCCGGGATTTCTGGAGCCGATAGGACAGGATCTCAAGACGTCAGTGACGCACCGAGAGCATTCGCAAGTAATTGCAATTTCGTCACACATTTATTCCCCGATGAGACCGCGCGATGAGACTTTTCCACGGTGATTAGAAAATGGCGAAAATTGGATGACTCCAGCGCTAAATGTCTCCCGAGTCCTCCTTAATACCCGGAAAAAATCGGCACGGATTGGAATTGCTCAGTCGTAATTGCACCACGTCGATCACGCGTTACATCGACGACTACTTGAGAGAAAATTGCGGATCCGGAACCATCTGACCGCTTATCTCCCGGCTTATTCGAAAAGAAGTGACGTTACGTTAACAGGAGTTACGCCGAGTTACGCGTGGACGAGTTACGTCAAAATTGCACATAATTTCCGCGGACTAGGTTAAGAAACACCCCTCGATAAAAATGGGAGCTGGAATGGTTGGCGTGACATATATGGAGCCCGGAAATTTCCTCGATATTCTTACGAACACAGCGGAAAAAAAAAAAGAAAAGAGAAAGATCAGAGGAGCCGTTCTCTCTTGCGGATAAACTGCCGCCATCTTGGACGCGCAATTCACGAAAAAATAAACAGGAGGAAGAAACCGCCCTATTTTTTTTTTTTTCTATTCAATTAGACTGTTTGTACACACAGAAAAAAAAATAGATCAGTGTACGAGGTCCATACATCCTACCATGCCCGGAACTCCAGAAACATTTGGAAAGACAAAAGATTCTCAAACCGTCCACGAGGTTAACCTCTGTCCAGAGCTCAGGAAATGGACTTTCCGCCTTTTTTTTTTCGGCCAAAGTGATGACTCGGTGTTTTTATATTACTGGATCCAGGAATGACATTCCGCTGTTCACGGTGTAATCCTTCATCCATATTGCGAAACCCTCGACAAGAATATAGTCAAGCTTGACCTGACGTGACAAAAAGTCGGCGTTCATTTCTAAATAATGAAATCGTAACACAGACCATCAAACCGAAATTCTCAAGGGGTGGAAAAATGTTGGATATTTCGTTATCGACTAAACTGTTGAGTTGCAAATAGTGCATTACTATCCGTAAAGCATTGCAATTCCATTAGGCATTATTTTCATAACTATTAACAGTAACAGAATCCATTATTCAGTAATTTGTAACTAGTAACAAGATCATGGCTCAATTATTATTTTAATAAATAATGGACTCAAATCATATTTTCCGTTAATTAAGCAATGCATTGTCTTTACGTTGAGATTTGTACAGTCTTGGTTTTCGGGGCAGAACCCTGACCTTACCCTCAGAGCTTCTGGAGAATTGGAGAAGTCGACGGGCTCGCATTTCCAGCTGTATTTCCTGAGCCAGGCCGCGTCGAGGCCTTCGTAAAATAGCCAGATGCTGAGGAGGACCTGGAGGAAGTTGTAGAAGACTAGAACGTTCTTAAGGCGATACGGTTTCCGGTGTTCCATGTGCCTGGGGCCCCAGGAAAGCACGAAGTAAAGGTAGCCGATCATTATGCTCGCCCCAGGAACCGGCGACGACATCAGAAACCAATCCCTCGTCCGTGGATCTGTGCAAACCGACTTTTGTACCGTATCTAACAATGACTAAATACCTAACACGGTAGCCCATCAATCATCAAAAAAAATGAAGAAACCAGAAGAGATAGAACACCACTTAAGATTCTCACTTACACGCATTTGGAGAAATGGAAAATAGATTTTACCGGCGAGGTCGTAGAATGTGTGATGGTAGAAGCGGACCACGGAATTGTTGTAGATGTTCGACATCTCGGTTGGCTGTGTACTGCTGGTGTTCATCGGGATTTTACCTGCAATCGAGAAATTAATTACCAGCCGGAAGAAAAAAAAAAGAAAGAGCTTGGGATAAAATTAAGGGATAACGCAGCGACCAGGAGTAATCGGAGAAATAATTTCTCGTCGACTCGAGTAACGTGCAAGTTACTTTTGGGAATTGTGGGAGACGATTTTCTGCCTTGGCAGAGTGCCTCAACGATGAGGGTTGACAATGTCTGCACTGCACTCTTTTCGGGACCTCCGACTCCGATGAACTGAACTTCGAGCTGAATTTTTCAATCTTATGACCCTCGAAATTCGACGCTTGATATTGTTTATTTTCCAATCAAGTTGAATGTCTTTGTCACGCGTCGAAAGGCGATCCATTATCTCCTGATAAGGGAAATGTCGTTTCGAGTTCAGTCACGGATGCTGTGCCGAAATTAACGGAGATACCGAAATCCGCTGAGATTTCTTGTTTTTTTTGTCGCAGGTGAATCGACGTTAATCCTCTGGCATGCGGTGTATAATTTATACAAGCATAATGCAATGTAACTTTGTACATAAAATTTAAAAATTACATATAGCATGAGTTTGCCTAAATTAGACCATTTGTCTAAAAGTACGTTTCTCATATTTAAGCTAATTGAGTTTCGTCGAATTCACCGTCGTGTGATACGATTAAAATGGTAAGAAGCATAAAAAAACAACCTAAGCGTTTTTAGGGAGTAAACTCCAAGTATCGTGTTTTCCATTTCCTATTTATTTTCAAATATGACAATATCAAGATTGGTGATTTTTTTTTTAAATTCGTAATAGAAATTCGTGAATATCGAAGATCATCGACATTACGAGACTCCCGGTTTCATAATGACACCCCGATAAAACGATCATTATTGACCTTGGACAAGCACTAATGGATTCGCTGATGATCCCGGTCTATGTCTAAAAGACCAACAAGTATTACGTAATTTTAACGACCTCCACGTGTCGTCATTTTGCGTCATCGCTGGATATTCGGTATGTTCTAAAATCGAAGCCGAGGAAGGTGTAGCCAACAGATGCATCGCTAAACGTCTGAAATGCAGAAACGAGTCAACCGAGAAATGGACACTTTGGCCCGATCGAGGGGAACAGAAAAATCATTTCTCCGGCTCTTTTTGGACCGGGAAAAAAAAAGTCAGGGGATAATTATTCGGTACGTTCGAAACATTTTCAAGAATCGGGGATCCGAGAAAGGTCCCTATGCCGAGGAAATCGTAGAATGTCGATCAAACGGGAAGGCAAAAACCGGTGATTTCAATGAAAGCACGGGACGGCAGTACTATTACGTGAGATTACTCAAAGTCGTAACGCGCGTTACGCGAAACCCTCGTAACGAGGAATTAAAAGCCAAAAAGACGAAAATTACCCTACGAGCTGCAGGTTACCGTAATCGGTTTCCCATTTCTTCCGCGTCGTAATTTCCTGACATGGTTAATTGTCAGTCGTCAAAGCAAATTATGACTGTCGAAAGTGTTTGTACATTTTACACGCACGGGTATACATTTTTAACATACAAAGTTCCACTAAATAAAAAAATTCCAGATGTTCGCAAAATTTTTTATAGGAAATTAATGTCGAAAACTAATTTCGATCAACGCGTAAAATTTGAAGTTTTGGTACAAGCTTGTATTTTCATATTCTATGAAATTTACAGATATTTTTATCAGTGCAGAGTCGACAAAGAATGTTGAAGGGAAGCGTAAGGAATGTCGGAGAATTATTTTCCATAGTTCATGGTCCACCGATGGATTTCTAATAACGATTACTGTTGATTGTAAGGAGGTAACCGATTGAAAAGAAAAAAATTGTGTTCAATAAGCATTGATTGTTAATCAAGACCTAATTGGTCTTCCCCGCAGGCGGCTTTTTCCGCAAACGGGAAGTGCATTACATTGCAACTCCGTTTCAATATCCTCATCCATCAGCAACACATTCCATTGATCTATCGACACCCGAGGCATATCATTATTTCAAATCTCGGTGAACAGGTCATAAAAAGTCCTCACGGAGTGCGCAGCTCTAGACACCAAGCCGTAATCACGGAAAGCTCTTATCGATTCCTTGCTTCACCTGCGCACCGACTTGTTAATTCAATTTGTTCAGTAACTCTGCCCCGTCATGAGTGATTTTCATGATTTGTATTATTTCTCACGGAGCTAAAGAAAAAAAAAAGCACCTCACGATGAATTTAATTCCGTTAATTAGAAGAACCTTTTTAAGAATTCCATCCCTTTTTAAGTGAAACTTCTTATCACACAGAAGTACATATAAGTTCCCGTGTTACGAAAGGGACTCGTTTAGTAAAGTGAAATGCTTATTTCTTTTCCAGTTAATTATAATATTAAAATAATTCTCATAAACGTAGGAGTATGACTTCCAACGTGCCACCGATTTTTCCTTCCGAGACGAACGATTGAGCATTAATTCCCTTCCTTATTAAGCAGTTGTAATGTGCATATCAGAGGTGACGGTTCCATGGCGAAAAATGTAAATGTATTATTCATGCGTGTGCATTCCGCGACTTCCTCCCACGGGTCATGATTCGCGTCCGCGAAATCCATTCGGTATACGGCGATTATTTCAAATCCTGGCAAACGGCCTCTAATAAAAAGCCATTACGAAATCGCTAATACGAGTCACCGAGCTATGCTTGCATTAACGCACAACCAAGTCACCGTGTTACGCCAATGAACGGTTCGCGTGTCCTTTCGTTGTGTGCAGGTGCGCCGATGAATGCAAGTCGCTCTTAAGTGCATTCGCACATACGTCCATTAAGGGTCGTAATAACTGGCAATTTCTCCATTGCGACACGTGTTTCCCTCGGATGATGTTTTACTTTTCCAACCGATGGGGAACCGGCCATTCACCGTCTCGCATCGAGATACCGAGATACGAGCCGCTGGTGCACTTGCATGTGCAAGGCTCGGATCGCGCAATTACTCGCCTAAGTTCGAGTCTGAATGTCGGATTACCCCAGTACTAACCTATCCACGCATCGATTTTGCACGAGCACCGATTCGCCGTTTATTCCAGCGAAATCCGGGAAAATATGGTAGAAAGTCATGGGGCTTAGCGAGAGCTGCACCGCTGCAGCGCTGCATATAGGGATGCATTTCTGATGCTCGCCAGCGGAACGAGGATTTACTACCCTCCGATGTCTTTAATCTATTTTTTTCCTTGTATTTAAAACATTCAATAGTGAAAATATTGCAATAGGATTTTTATTAAAATTTTTACTATTAAATTTTTTTTTATTTTGGTGTTCATCGCTTGAGCCGAGATGGTGATTTCTGATAAAGCTAAGGACAAGGCAAATCGAAATTAATGGGCAGATCAGTTCCGTGAGAAATTCTTTAGCTCGATGGTCACTTCGCACTTATCTTGAATGGTAATTGTCGTTCGTAATCCACTGGAATGGCATGGCGGAGCGAGACCGGAAATTATAAAACAATCCCAGCACTGAACAAGCGTTTATGTCTCAAGTGACCTTTCGATAGAGCCGAACCCTGCATAAAAAGAAATGCACTTAATAGTTTTAATGACGTACGATTGCGAGTCGCAAAAGAATTATTCACAAGGATTCTTATTGGGTGTGAATTGCATAACTTTGGTTCAGATGAATCATCGGAGAAAGTGAATATTATTTTTTAATTATTTTATTATTCACGAGCGGTGATTTACCCGGGTATTTTATTAGTGCCTTTATAAGGTCTTATGCCGACCTAACCTAGAAACTGTCGTTACCAGAACTCGCTACGGTAAAATGATTGTTCCGCTACGAGCGAAGGTATACACGTAATACTTTCGCCGAGGAACAAGGTCGCTTCCCTTGCTTCCAATTTCCCTCTTAAACAACCCATTAAAAAGTGAAGAGCGAAAAGCTATTTTCCAAAGCAACCCCTCCATTTTCTGCAAATCAAATGGAATTAAAAAGAAAACTATCCACAATCTCATCATCACACATTTCAAATATGCAGTGGAAACGAGCCCCGTCATACGTTTTTCAAAATTTCAAATAAAATCAAAAAACAAAACTGCAAAATAGAATTTTATTGTCACAATCTATTCATTGAAAATAAGGCAAAAATGTATTCAAAAGAACCCCTTCAGGGTGCCCATTAAAAATTACGCTAAAATGTTATGCTCTTCGGCCGAGTCGACTCTTTTATTTTTCATCACTTCAACTTAACTTCCTCGAGAAGATCAATGCCCCTAAATAGAATTTCATTATCACATATTACATTACAGACACTAACTGCACTCTCTCGTGTGAGCCCGTAAACTCCAGTCACCCCGCCAATTTCCACTTTCAACTTTCTCACGTTACTGCACGCGTTCCTCGGAAAACCGCGTGCTTGACGAAATAAGTTGAAAAGAAATACGTGGAAAAATATAAATATGTAAAATGGATTATGCGAGAGTGGTCGATCAAAATTGGGAAAGTCGGCGATATCGATTTCGATACAAGTAAACGATCTGGGACGAGTTTGAGCGCCGAGTAGGGCGAGAGAAGGAAGAAGGGTGGAGGTCAGTTTTATGTGAAATGTGGGCCAACGGGAAGAAACGATCTTCTCGTATGGTTTCTGTGCCGAGCCGACGTCCGCGAAGGGGCTCGATCGGCAACCGGTTTGCAAGTAAAGAGTACAGATCACTATACGCGTATTCCCATCGAATGTCCCGACTGAGAGTTACCCAGGAGTTCGATGGCCAATGCTCCAATCAGCACGTGATCGAGATCGATTCGTCATTAGTCACCGATCGTCATCGATTGTCATCGATCACCTCAACGCCGACGTCGAGAACACTCCCCTTGATCCTGAGATACTCAACCTTAGAAAGTCTTTCGAGCGGCCATCTTGGTTTATATAATGCAAACGGGTTTGCGGAGAAAAATAAATGAAAAACCTGAACTTGACAAAAAAATTCGCCCCTTTTGCAAGGAACACCTGTAGACATGTCGGTGCACTGGAAGTACAAAGCGCTTATGTTT